TGATCAACAGCCCTGGCTGGTTATGTAACTGTGGCGCTGCAGTATGTAGGTCAGCAGCACAGGGAGAGGCAGGGACGGGGTAAGAAGGGTGAAGCCGGGGAGGGTGTTGCTGTGTGTCGCATTGGTGTTCACACTTCCACGTATCTGGTTTGGGTCATTTTAGCCTGTTTTCCATTTACAGGATGTGCAGGTCATATCACGCCGAGCAGACGTCCAACACCATCACTCGCTGCAGACGTCTCTGCTGAAGGAGACTCAGATTCACAGGCTGAGGAAGTCGTTGTGCAATGAAGCCAAACTGACCAAGCTTTAAACATTAACTCAGGAGTGTTCACATATCTGAGGGTTGCTTTTCAAAATCCAATCCTCATAAAGTCTTATCACAGGATGTTCCGTCCTCTAAAGGAAATAAAAGCAAAAGGTAAATATTTCATCACATGAAATGACAAATCCAAAAGCTTGAAGCAGTAACTTGCAATGAAGGTCAAATTAAAAGTATTTTACCGTATCATTTGCAAGTGTCTTCATCATTTCAAGTGTTTGATTCTTATTAAATAACAAAAAGGAACAATTTCCTAAATATCTAACTTAAAAGCTATTTAACTCTATATTGACAATTAGGAACAGAGACCTGTTGTGAGTGTTTGTTAGATTGATACTGATATTGTTGACATTATGTTAATACTGTTCACATGTTTCAGGCACATGAACAATGGTTTACCGGAAGTTCTCCAGTTACAGAATAAATAACTGTGGAATGCAGATAATCAATGATTAAACGCTTTGCAGCATGACTGGACACCGAGTCTCTGCGAGGTTTATTAGAGCCGTTCTATAGAGCTTTTTATAAAAGTCACATCTATAGAGCTTTTTATAAAAGTTTCATCCTCCATTTCCGGTGGTAATAGTTGCTGTGATTAGAATAAATTGAAAATGAATGTAGGCCAGTAGGAATGACGTGTGTGTGCGTGTGCGTGTGTGTGTGTGTGTGTGTGTGTGTGTGTGTGTGATGAATCAGCTCCATGTTATGCAACGCCAAACCGCTCTTGGGTCAAATTACCGTTTCTTCTACCCTTGTGCTACAGGAAGTAGCCTTTTACCATGCGTGTCTTTGTCCAAATGGAGGCGAAAGACAGTGAGACCCTTTGGCATGGGGCAATCAATCATCAGGCTGTTGAATTTGTCCGCCTGCTGAGCCTCCACATGTTTTCTGCATGGTGAGTTTGAAGACAAATGGAGCTGCTCTCTTTTTTTCTAATTGGATTACCTTGACAGAATCCTTTTTGAAGTTATTCCATGATCATCTCACTCCATCCTCTTTTGGTCAAAATGTATAGGGGGATTTAAGGAAAAGTGAAATTTAAAGTAATTAAACATGGATTTCTGTATTGGTTTTAAGTTAACGTTAAGTTAGTTCAACTTTAAGGCAGAGGCAATTTATTTGTTGAGATATGACTAAATATTAACAACGTGGTACGAACCTCAGTTCATTTAAAGTTTGAAAGAGATCATATTGGACATTTGGGAAAATAAAATCATTTGTTTTCTTGCTCTCTCCCAGGCTGCCTCCATGTCCTAGTGTGCTCTCACTAGCAGCCACTAGCTTAAGCTTAGCTTAGCTTAGCTTAGCACAAAGACTGGTTCTGTTCTGTCTAACATGCTGCTTACAGCCACATATTTAGAGTACTAGTGGGTAACTATATTCTCCACTACTGAAACTCCAGCAAGAAAGCATATACGTTCATTTTAATTTCCCAAATGTCCTACTTAACAGTTGTTTAACTGTCTACGGTTTAAAATGAAAATCGATGGTATTAAAGGGGAGTCATCTCATCAAGTCTCACTAAAACAGTTTGTGTTCTAGCTTTTTGAGGGTCTTTTTTATCATTGTCAAATTAAGCTGAGCATTACAGCAAATGTCTCACATTGCATCAGAGGACACTACCTGATAAATCAAGAATACTGATTCAGTCAACAGTTTCCCTCAAGCTGTCTACAAACACTTTGGGTGTTTTTAATTTTCCTCCTCAAATTTCACTTGAATTATTCATATATTCATGAGCTAAATGTGTAAAAAATTGTTTACTGGTATCAGATAAACACCAAGAGAAAGACATCTCAAGTGGATCGATTCAATCCAAGCTGGGCTGTTCCATAAATATTTTAACTGGAACATCACTGTAGATCATTGAAGATAATTAACCAATGGAGAGGGTTAACACTCTGATTTAAGAGAAAACTACTCACACTTAGTTGTTTTGTTTTTAATTTATACTTGTTAAATAATACAATTATTGATCAATAGTTTACTAATCAGCCGTAAGCTTCCAAAATTCCACTCCCAGCTTGAGTCTGTGTGCATATCTTTGAAGGTGCAGAGTGTAGCATTTAGTGCATTTAGCCGTGAGGTAACAGATGGCAGCCGACTACAGAGCCCTTTGCTCACCTCCAAGACTCCACTAATGTGTGCCGCCAATACTTATACTCAAGACGTTTGCCTTCTGATGCTCATGTTAACGTAGTTTTCACAGGCGTGTCCCAGAACTATGAGTGCGTTTTGGGCATATGCACTAGTGCGCTATAATAAAACATTACGTACATAACAAGCCATTACTTTTGCTTTTACAGGGTTTAATGTATTTCAGTTTGAATTATGTGACAAAATCTAATGACTTTCGGACACATGGATTCATTTATCTTGATACAGACCAAAGTGCATGTTGTCTCCCATCACTTCAAATGAAATTAGGAGCGGATCTCTTCAGGGAGAAGACAAGTGATTAAAGACGCGTTGGCTTGTGAAAGCAAGCAGTAGACTGATTCACGTATCCTGTATCCTACGTATTGATATTACGTTGATGCTTTGATACAGTACGCCCAGCTGGTACTGCGTTGCTTCCTAAGGATTCATACCCATTGTCCTTATGAGCCACATTATTTCAGCTCCAGCAGCAGCAGCCTGACAGCATAACAACATGTTAGGTAACCTGCGGTCCTTCGTGGTGGTTATTAAGTGGATTAACCCCTTTGGATTAGTCTCAGCCTTTTCTCCCATCTGTCACACTACAGATCTGCCACTGTGCAGCCAACACGGGACACACACACAAACACACAAAGATACATAAATAAAGAGGCATTAGAAGTATGTTGCATGTGAGCAAATCTTCCGACTGCACGTCTATGTGACTGAACAGGCACCACACACAAACATACACACTGTACAAATATTCCTCACATGTGCTCACACAGTGACCTCTGTCTCAAAGGCAAGAAAACACACACACACACACACGCGCACACACTAATCTGTGATTAGTCGTTATTATTCTCAGTTGAGTGAATAGGAGACGTTATGGGTATCGCTCCATATTGACAGCTTTAGACTTTATGTATTTCTTCACGTGTACTTATAATTGTGCTTGAATGTGTGTTTCCAAATGGACTAAAGTCACTCTGAAAGCCTAACGCAAAGTTGCAAAGAGCTTCTTTCACAGACCATCATGTTCCCATACACTTACATTTACACTAATCACAAAACATTCCTGAATGTCAGTCATACACAACATTTTCATATGGTATATGGTAGAAATATTTTGGGAAAGCAACAAAAAGTAACAAGGCAACTGGGTTTTTCCCAGATGTTTTAGTTTATATGGAACAATTTTGAACCCAAACAAACTATTAGTTACGTCACAATCTGAGCAAGTGCCAAACCAAACTACTGAGGATTTATTTTTTTGCTGCAGTTCTAGTTTCTATTCAACCATTAAGAAGAAAAATATAAAACCTCCATGAAACACAAATCATGTAAAACTAATTTCAGCAGCTCCTAAATAACTCTTCCATAAGTCTGCACGAGGTCTCACATGATACCCGTTGACTGAATGGTTGGTGAGCCTATCGATTGATTCTACCGCCTGTAAGCTCATGACAGGAAAGCGGCCTGATCTGGCCCCATGCAAACGGGAAGTCACTACGACTACGATTAACCACGAGGCCCCGAGGGCAGAACAAGGAACCACCAATGAGGAAAAAGGTAACTCTGCTCCTCCAAAAAAAAACAGATTCCTTCACAAGCAATCAGGGGAGAGTGAAGCATGTGAGTGAAGTGCCACTAAATCATCCTGCACAGATCGTCAACACCAATGAGTTAACCACACACATGAACAACAGATCCGTTTGCCATTTGATGAGTTACAACTAATGAATACAAAGCATTAACAACACGTTCACCACACAGAGGCCGACACCACAGTTTACACGCAGACCACGTGCATTTTGCATTGAGAAATCTAACCTCTCTCCTAAAGTTAACGTGTGCATAGGAATATGGAAATTAGAGCTCCAACAATGCAAAACCAGTCAAACAGGTTGCAACCTCGCACTACCAGAAACGCACACACACACACACACACACCGGGACATCTGTCAGTTTGACCTCTGACCTCATAGTGTTTACTGTTTCATCAGGTTGCAGAAGCAGTAGAACCACCCCAGTGACCCGGGCTTCCTCTCCTCACTCACGTTCTGCAACGTTCCTGCAGATCTTTAGTCTCATCGCGCTCTGCTTGGACAACGGTGTTTCCCTAAGGAAGTTTTGTCTTAGTCTTTACGCTCCCCGCAAAGCCAGCGCAGGTCACCATGAAGACACTGGACGTCTGACTGGAGGATAAACCAGTTTGTTTGTTTCAAGAATGGGAAACTGAGGTGAACAAAGCAAGACAGAACAATCCAAGAAGGGTTGTTTGGCTCCACCAGGTGGCCAGCTATGCTCAGTGTTTATAGTTCGGTTTCAGTGGCCATCCTAAATATGAGCTTATGTAAATCTTTAAAATACCAATTTATAAACTGAAGCCTAAAGGTAACATCAAACAACAAACAACCTCACAATTAGAAGCGTTTGGTTCCTTTTTGAACTACAGAAATTCCTAAATTTCAGAGAAGATGGACAAACATCCGTGAATGGAGGTCCATTCTTGTGATGAAAAAAAACACTGATAAATAATAAATTGTCTTTATTATCGTACATAGTAATTATAAACATCAAGTTCTAACTTTAAAAATAGAGAATCTGTTTCAAAAAAAAAAAAAAAGTTTAGGCTTCCATTACAACTTGCATACAGTACCGTTCACAACTTCACTTACAGATCAAACATACCGGAGAGAATAAAAATTAAAACCTACAAATAGCACAGCGGTCAGATGGACATGATGTCTCTGTTAACTCCTCCCAGACGTCTGTTACCAACCTCGGCCCAACTAACCGACTACAGCAGCATTAAAACAGCACTCAGAGATGCTAAATCCTTCCCAAAACTAAGGAGAAATTCACCAACGGTCTTCATGTCTTTCTGGCTCAGTTTAAAACAGGAACGCTAAAATTTGACGTCAAACCAGTTGGCTCTTAAAATACTTGCTAGATATCCAGGAGTTTTGGGGAGGATTTCCCATCGCTGTGATAATTGTACATTTAATTCACCTCCGCAGACATTCATTTTCACTTCAGATTAATCTCATTCGCGGCCCAACAGGTGGAGTGACCTTCACGGCACTGCTTGTAGAAAGTCAGTTATTTAATTGCTAAAGGAATACAGACGGCAGTAACCAGCAGCCCCAACGAGCCAGAGACACTTCTACGTGCACAATACAACTCCTATCAAATCCATGGACACAAACGCAGTCCAGCCTCCTTTACAGCAGAGTTGTCTGTCTTCATCAGAAATAATACAAACTTGAGTTGCTTGTGAGACAAAAAAGCAATTTAAGTACAATTTATAGTTCAGTGTTGGAGACACAAAACAAACAAAAAGTCAAAGCACATTTTCCTCATGCCCCTTAAGCTGAATACTGAAATGTATTATTTTATTTAAGCTGAAAATTACATTAAGTTATAATAAAACGTTGCTCTTGGTTGAAATGTTGACTCACGAACTTACAGGCGGCACAATGTCCACTTAGTCGCTGCGCTTTAGGAGTTCGTTAGTCATTCGGCCACACGGGCTGAAGAAAAAGTCCCTTTCCATCCTCATCCTGCTTGTCCTGAGAGACGTTGACGTTAAAGGTGGCGGACCTTTTGTCTTTCTCAGCTTCGTCTTGGTGACTCACGCCGGTGTACCTGGACATTTCGCTCATCCTGCATTTAAACCGTCCAGACCTCAGGATTATCCGTCAGCATCGTGAGCCCGTGGGTCTCCGTTTCGGAGTTGCCCATATCGGCCGTGCAGAGACAATCGTCATGGCGACGAGTAGATGCAAACAGCCGTTGTTGAGGTTGTTTGCAGACGAGCAGCTAACTCCTCGCGTTCTGCCAGTCCTGGTCACTTGGTGTAGCGGCTCTTGGGTTGGTGTCCGGGACTGGAGGAGGCGCACAGACGACTCCCGTGGCTTCTCCAGCGTCGGCGCAGCACAAAGTCATTGTCGGCGGAGGGGCACATGGCATAGAACACGTTGGCTTTGTCGGGGATCTGAAGGTCTGAGGCAGAAAGGAATTTCGTCAGCCTAATTCAAGTTTTTCTCTGAATTATGTTGTTATGAAGCGTTATCCTCAGAATGGCCTCCATTCTAAATCTATTTAGAAAGAATGACAGCATTGTTTAAAGCGATGGAAATATTATAAGACCAGTGGGGGGGTGAAGGAGCTGGTTTTTGCTTCCTTAACAATATATTTCCTTACATTTACTGTTCATGTGTTTCGGAGGCCAAAATGTTTTGTGCTACGTCATTAAATATTACTTTTAGTCAGCTGGCGCACACACATTGTTTCAAGGTTGAAATTTCTTTTTAGCATAAAAGGAAACAGAAGAATAAATGTTGTTGGTGGTCTAGTATTTAATTACAAGCTCCTGAACACACGTGTGCACAAAAAACAAGAATAAGGCCTGAAGAGTTAATCCTGTGATAAGGATGTTTTTTCATCGAAACATTATACTGCTTGAGGAAAAGTCTGACGAGGTGAAATTCACCTTTTCCATTGTTGAGCATCTGGAAAAGGTTGAAATCATGGCAGCTTGAATCCTCCATGTTGTGTTTTTCAAGAGCCCTCTCGATCACCTGCCGTGTGCGGTCCTGACTGGTCAGCTGGGGAGGAAGCAGAAAGCCAGACGGCAAAACACAATGTGATAAAGTAATACAATGTTTTTGAGAATTAGTCATTTGCTAAGTAGAAATGTCTATGATACATTTTAGAGTGGTTACTTGCATAATAAAATATTGTAATGATTTGTAAAGATTCAATTTTATGAGCATGCCCAAATCTTTGTTGTTCTTTTATAAAAACTCTGTTTTCCAGAACTAGGTTGACAAAAAATATGAAGAAATGGCAACTCTTTGTCCTTTCCATTGGTTTTAATCTACTTTTCTATTCTAGAAAACGTTGACTCGAGTCAACCAAACAACATTGTTCTTACCAGAATGCTCTTGTAGACGTTTCCATTGCTGACGGACTCCACGCGGACTCTGATTATACACGAGTCAGCACCCTGTTTGTTGTAGAGGGGCAGCGCGGCCGGAGAGGAGCAGCCGGACAAAGAGGACTCTGGGCTCAAGGCCACCGAGGAAGAGCAGAGGTCCGGCTGGGAAGAGCTGCAGGAGGAGCTGGAGAGGCTGGGAGAGGAGGAGGACGAAGAGGTGGAGGAGAAATCCTCTGCGACATCGCGGAGTGAGCCCGAGAGAGACTGACAGAGGGGAACAGAGAGAGAGGGGAGACAATATGAAAACAATGGAAACCTCTGATCGGGGTCAAATTGATTGATACAGAAGTGGATATAAAATCCCCAAAATGGAAATTGTAAGGGACTAGAAGGGGAACTCCACTGTATAATGCTACAGCTTAAAAACACCTTACTAGATGTTTAAACCAACTAGAAAATCCCTGTCATATTGTGGTTGTTTCATGTTTGTAAATGAGGTAGAGCAGTTTAAGACAAGTCTTAAGACCTTAAGTTTGAGTCTGAGGGGAGAGAGCTGGGGGACGGCGAGGTCCTCCATCTCTGAACTGCTGGAGCCAGAAGAGGACACACTCATCTGGTCCGCCTGGGTTTTCCTCAGATAGCTGTTGCTGCCGGTTTGCGACCTGCACACACATACAAACACAGTTTACATTCATCCTGACACGTAGAAATGTTAAGTCCTCTCGGTCTGACAACACACATACACAATGAGCTGAAGTTTTATATCGGAGCGGTCAGCTGGGGTTGTACAGTATGTTGCAGGCTGCAGGAGGTTCCATGTGTTGCTAGAGGGTTCTTATCCAGACTTACGTGGCATGTTTCTTGGTCAGCAGACTGCTCCATGAGGAAGGAGAGGTGGGACAGGGGTCAACTGGAGGCTCCAGGTCCCGGGACAGCTCATAGCTTCAGTAGAGAGAGAAAGGGAACTTTAGCAAATGAGAGATGAAAGATTTAAGTGTAAAAGTCAGCCATGCTTCGTGCTGCTCCACTTCTCATTCGGTTGTTAAACCGTTAAACCTCAGTGAGTCTGACACATGCTGTAGATCGGTTTAAACAAAGTTATCCCGCTACAAAAGTAGCAACGGTACAAATGAAGTTGGTTTCCACACTGACCATCAGCTACGTTGATTTGAAGGTGACTGTTTTACTCCTCCTCTATTCCTATAGCCTCACCTCTCCTGGTCTGTGAGCAGTGTGTGTGCCTGCAGCCAGGTGGTGATCTGAGCATTTACTGGCAGGCTGTAGCGGGAGGAAGAAGCCTGAAGCTGCCGAATCTGAGAGAGAATCTCAAACTCCTACAAGAGAAATAAATAAAACCCGATTAAAACATACAGCCGAAAATACAACCTGGAAGATATTGAGAACAATTGTGGTGATTCATGCAAAACAACACTAGGAGGCGACACCTACCCGTCTGCGCTTCTCAAAGTTGATGAGTCCACCCTGTGTAAAATGGAACGTTGTTACAAACATGGCACCATAAAAAAACACCAGCAAAAGCAGAGCAGACTGAAGCTGCGGGCGTCCTTACCTCTACGGTGTCAGTCAGAGCGGTGTCCAGCATGGTGAGGACGGTCAGGTAGGTGCCCAGGTACGGCACGACACCACTGCTGAAGCTCTATATATATATATCATGTAAATATATTCATTTTTTTGGTGAGAATTGACTAATTACTTGTAAATATGTAATTAACATATTTGCAAAAAGCAGAAAGAACATTTCATTAGTACTCTTTAATGTTGCTTTCATGGAAAACTAGCATGAAGTAACTTGAGAAGAACATTGAGCTCATTGTGTACCATGTCAATACAAATAAAAGTATATTGTATATAATATAAAACATCACGTGTCCCCACCCAGACTGAGTAAACTGCCAGACTGTGAGAAACATTGCACACAAGTCAACTTTTACACCCGTAACCGGCGTATGTGGGAAAACTAACAGTTGGATACACGTGTATCATGTATGTAACATACTGAGGAAGGAGACGGAACTGGAAATCTGGTGTCTATGTCGGAAAACTGTATTAGCTCGAAAACATGTGACTTTTAGGGAAGTAGAATTGATGATCTAGACAGAAGAAAAGATAACTCTGTCTTGTACTATTAAGTAGAAATAGCTGAGACATTCATTTTATTTTTGGTGGTTGGACCTGAAATTTAAAAATGCCTTAAAGAGGGTTATTCCAACATAGAGTTATTGCAGTAAGTGATATTTCCTTACAGGTCTGGACTCTGAGCCCGCGGTGGCGCCGCCATCTGGATGAGCCCCATCCTGCACAAAACAAACAACATGCCACGTCAACCGGGACGAAATACAACAACTATAATTAGAATGAGAGGACAACAAAAGATGTACGTTTTTCAATTGTTCTCCCCTGGGTGGAGCACCAGCAAACAGGGTGTTGCCAAGTGTCAGTGACTTGTAGTCATTGCCAAACAAACTACCTTTATTTGTGGTTTTATTGTGCTGGCTGCCAACCGCATTACTCCATAGAAAGTTGGCTGCAGATAACAGCGCTTGAATACTTCAGTCATTTTCACAGCGCACAAAGGACAAAGAATGGCAGGTGAGCTGGAGACGGAACTTTAAGTTAACCGTGTCAATGAAAAAGATATGAGATTAGACGGACCATTACGGAGCATTGCTTGACAAAGGACCTCAATTTACTTCACGTTTGTTTAAAACTTTTACTCATACACAAATGCAAACTGTTTCTTTTCTTATTTCCTATTGTGGATTGTTTTTAATACATCAATTCCTGCCTGATGAAATAACACACTCTGTTGGGTGAATATCAACTAATGGTTTCATCATAATACAGACTAAACCGTGCAGAGGTAAGAGGCAGACGGTCCGTATAGTGGAAAATGAACAAGCAACCTATTATTGTCTTTTTTCAGCAATTGCTTTGGAGTGAATCCACCCAATTCAAAGACTTCATCTCCTCATTAAAATCAGTAAACCACCATACGTCATGCACACATGCAGTTACCTCCACCAGGATCTCTCTGCTGGTCAGCACACAGTTTTCGTTGGGGAAAGTCTCACTCAAGTGGTCGAAGGTGTTCATACTTTCCCTGAAACCAAACCAAAAACATCTCTTAAGGCCATCTTCCTTTTGCCATGTCGTCACCGTGAAAAAGGTTGCATGCGGAAAAAATGACTGATTAACCAAGAATGGAATTGACTCTCTTTCTTAATTGACTTGTTCATTTTTGCATCCCAAAGAAGAAAAAGGTGTGTTTCACAGAACTGTTTAATAAGTTGTAGTGTCTTCTAAGGGTTTACTGACCGGCCCACAGCAGCCCAGGTCTTCTTGAGGCGATACACTGAGTTGGACTGAAGGGCTGAAAGGATGGCCCTCAGAGAGGAGAAATTCTTCAGCTGTCTGCACTCCTGCAGAGAGAACACACAAGAAAACACAGTCATGCTGTGTTGTTTTGGCCAAAGTTATGTTCATTTATGCATTGTAAGCTCGCTTTGACCCTGACCTGAGCAATGGCGATCCAGCCCTCGACGATGCGCGCTCTGAGGCCGGGGCTACTGTGACCGCAGCGAGGCGACATCGGGGCAGCGGAGGGGCTCAGGAAGGTGGAGGAGGAGGAGCCGGGTGGTGAGCTCGGAGAGAGAGTGGAAGGGCCGGGGGAGGACGGGCAGAGGATTGAGGTGATGACGCGGTTGGTGACCGCGTTGAACTGGGAGATGGTGGCGCGGACGGTGGGCGCCAGGTTCCTGTTCTGCCTTTTGTCGCGTTGGGACCAGACGCAGCCCAAGCAGTGGAAGGGCTTCACCCTAACAAACAGCTCCTGAGCCAAGGATGGAGACAAGGAGACAATACGAATGAGCGACCTACACTGAAAAAAAAAAAAAGACAAACGCTTTCAAATACTTGTTAAAGAAACCTACAGCGTCCAACCGGGTGAGCTGCTCCGCCACTTCTCTCACAGCAAAGTCCATGAAGTTGCATTTGTCTTCCTCCCTAATGGACGTGTCCGCGCTGTCCTCTGGATCCCCGAGCTCCCCCGACGTGCCGTGCGACAAAGTCTGGCTGCAATCTGTCCAACAAAGCAATGGATAAATGTCAACAAAGCTGGGTTTCATACGACCTACGATCCACGGTAATCCCGTCTGCCATTCCCCTGTACCTCGCTCCTTGAGACTCTTGAGGAGGTTCTCTGCAGTGTGAGCCAAGCGTCTGAAGCAGCGGCGATGCCGCAGGTGGACACACAACATCTGGAGGGCCTGACACTGAGGGGGCTCATGGAAGTCTTCGCCGTGTTCCTCGAGCAACAGCTGGATCACCAGGAATAGAGCACTGATAGAATGATGAGGAACATTAAATGGAGTTAGTTATAGTGTGTCGGCCCTCTTTCCCGTTCAGATCAAAGGAAGCACGGACGATATGTGTTAAGTTGTGGCAGACAAATAAAAAAAGAGCAAAGTAAAGCAAAGTCTCATGTGTGGGACAACGTCATTTTACTCACATCACATTGTCGTAACTCAATGAGACTGATGGGAAAATACAAAATAATCTTTGCCAGACTCACTTGCGTTGGCAGACAGTGTTACCCAGGTCGACGACTGAATCCTCCCTGTGGAATAAAGGTAAACACAATCATCAGAGAGCTACATTTCAATGAGAATCTTCACACAAACAGACACCGTGCTTTGGGTGGTGCACGCTTGGACGGATACATGGAATAAAAAGATATTGTTACACTATTGTAACACTCCGGAGTGGGTATAGTTTGCTCACACAATGAAAACACTGGAATCAGAGGGTAGAATGAGTGTGTGCCATATTATACAAATGAATACAACAGAACATACAATGTGACGTCAACATCAGTGGTATCAGTACTGTTGCATGCTGGGTGTGTGTGTGTGTGTGTGTGCTTGTAGGGGTGTTGAAGGTGCATAACAAACAGACACCTAAAACAAAGTTAGCCTGACAGAAGAGATTAGATGAGTAAAGAAGATGGAAACCATGAGTGTGAATACAGATTAGAATACACTCCAGAAAGTGATTACAGTCTCTAGCTGTTAAAGTAAAGCGTGTTGGTGGCGATGGCGGTCGGCCAGTATTTGACCAGCCCAACCCGTCTGTATCCACCATGGCCGGTCCACCCCTGAATGTGACCAATACGTCATTGCCAACAGGTGGTCCATCCTGTGGAAATGTCCCGCAACACTCCTGCAGAGACACTGTGGCCTTCATTCAAGGTCAAACACGCAACATCCAAAGTCATCACAAATCTGTGCTGCTCAGACTGCACACGTTTTCACACCAAAGGACGGACTGGAGACAGACTATCTTCCCCTGGGAGGAACCCCAGAGCAGGTCTGTGAAGCCTCGGAGACGTTGGGAGACCTCTTTGAGACTGGCCGAGCAGCCGGTCTCGTGAGATTTAGAGTAACAATAAAGACTGTGTCATTTTATTGAGTTGCAATATGTTTGCAAAGCCATAAAGTAACCGACTTCCATTCGGCTGTCTTTTTATCCAGATAGTACCTGTGATTTCCTGTTCTCAGAGATACGACTCATGACTGGCCCGGCCCTCACTTATCAAGTTTAAAAGAAGGATGCCAAAGCCATAAAACGCTACATCTTGAACAAAGTCCTTTAGGGCAAAAGAGGGACAACAGTTCCCAGGATGTCCTGACCTCACACAAAGCTCACAGGAAATCTGTTGCCACCAGCAGCGCCGATATGAGGGCGACTGTTTGACACATAATACATCAACTGAACGGCACTAATGGTCACAGTTTCACACAGGCAGTCATTTTTAATACATTTAGCTGAGTTGAGCTGTAAGGAACCGAGAAAGACTAAAGACCAGTTGTTTAAATAAGTAAATATTAAACATTTTATTGGAACATCTCCTATAAGTAGTAAAACCAAATGAGGCCCTGAAATGTATTAAATACATTCCTCACGCAGTGAAAATAAATATCAGTATTTCAGGTTACTGGGGTTGGATGCAGAAGCACCTTCGCTGGGTGTGGAGGGCGTAGTCATGAGCACGCTGGAACAAAACAAAGCGCCGAACCAATTTGCGTACAGTGACGATCTTTCTAAAAATAACACGTGGTGGAAAAACAAATGAATGTCGATAAGTTATTAAGGGGAGATAAAAGCCATCGAAGCTGTATAAAGATTATGAAAAGAATAAAGCTTTTTTCCAAATAAAAAAGGTAAAAAGAACAAACAAGGGCCCGGCAGTAAAATGAACGATGCCACCAAGCGCGGGTGTGGCCCGTTTCTCACCTCTGAAACAGCAGCTTGACGAGGGTGCTGGTGGAGGTGAAGGTCCTGTAGGTGCAGAGGAAGATCTGGGTGTAGTCAGGTTCCTGGTGCTCAGGGTCCAGCAGGTGGGCGACCAGGCGCTCCAGGGTGCCGGCCTTCAGCCTGCGCACCTTCACCGCGTGGTACTGGACGAAGCTGAAGGCCGTCGGGGGCTCCGGTGTGTCTGGGCTCGGCGGCACAAGCTCCCTGCGCAGCGTGACCACAAACACGGCCCCGTCCTCCTTCTCCTCGCCCCACTCCTGCACCGGATCCTGCAGGACCGAACACAAGGTCATCAAGATCTGGCGAATGATACCTCAAACACTTTCTTGTTTCTTTGTGACGTGGTAGATAACACAGTTGAATGCGCGTTGAATCCCGTGCAGGTATCGTATATAACAAAACTAAAAGTACAAAAAAGACATTTTTAGTTTTTTTAATGGACACCGCCTGCATACGTACTACTCAAACCGATAACTAATGAAATAAACCTTGCGACGGGGTCGTTCCGTCAAACTCCGCGTCAATTAACTTCACCCTTGAGATTCTGCATGAGATCCGGCCTTGGACTCTGACGCAGACGGACACCTGGTCACTGGACCGATTACCGGACGAAGACACGTCCGTCAGTCCATCTAATGTACACAGGGACAACGCATCCAACCACGACACCTTTACCTTCATCTCATTGTTGCTTTGTAAGAATGGCAACGTCTCCCTGCACACTACGTCATAAAAACCGTAGAGAGACAATAAGAACAATCCAGGTTTCACTGACTCAGTTATTAATAAGTGTGACTCATTTGACAACAGTATTTTGTAAATGTGTCGTAGCTTTAGCTGTAGAGCGTTTTGTTTTCATTTTAGAAAGAAACAAAAATCATATTTGAAGTGATAACAAACAGACAATTATGGCCCAGAACTAATTGCCCAGTTTTTTAGTCACACCTCGTGGCAATTTTGTGGAACAAAGTAAGAAAATCCATCTTGATACATCATGACATCTCTTATTGAGGGTCAACTATTTGTTCTTAGCACATAATATGTAATTTAATGTGCTAAGAACAAATAGTTAACTATCCATAAGTAACAACAAGCGAACCACGTTCAAGAAAAAATGCAATCACATGACAGAAACAGACAAAACCAGTGTGCTATTTGCAGATAGAATGACACACTGGTGGATCTGTGTGAATAAGCACATTAGAACCGTCACGTTGTAGCTGACTTCATATGCAAATAAAAACAATGAATAAATAAGTGAGACATAATGGCACCGGGCAGACAACCTCGTTAACTTGTTCCAACTCGTTTATGAAGGCATTTCATTTGACCTACCATCGATAAGTTCCATTTTCCCATTTTCGTGTCCTCCGAGGCGTGATATCCCATAATATTGTGTTGCAAGTGGTAAACCGGCAGTCCAGGTGGAAGTTAAGGATTTAGCGCCGTCCTAAGGCCGTTCACTTCCGTCCGCGTTATAGCTTTCATTTTTGAGGATAATTTCAAAAAGGTGATGATAAAGTAGAGTCGAACTGTATCCAGACGTTTGAGTCCGACACCGACGGACTGACTCCGCATGGAGCAGCGACCGAGAGCGAGCAGCCCAAGGGAGGAGCCGTACGTCAGTGGGCGGGGCTACGGGGACGGACACGGGCGTGGCTTATTTATTTAATAATAATAATAATAAATAAATCATTGCAATTAATCCTTCATTCAGAGGATTGGCAGTTCATGGGTTAATCAGCAAAATATCACCACTAAAGTAACCTGTAAAACAACTACATGGGGCACTTCACATGATGAATTTACTGTTTACCAGAACACAAATGAGACAGCAGGTCTGTCTCACTCGGCGTCGCTAGGAGACAATTTGCGGGGAGCAGAGCAACAACAACTCTGCAGACAGACCTGCAGTTAGCAGAGGGGCCGCAGGCTGTGATTATGCATGAAGCTTCTGCTGGTGAATAGGTCAGAATTATATATCTATTGGCTATTTAATAAAACGGCAGTCCATATACCAAAAGCATCAGCTATTATAATGCAGCCACGTTAAATAAGTGGCAGACTGATGCGTGATTGGAGTCAGGTTATATTTTGGCGGGGTATTGAACTCTGAGGCGTTTTGGGTTCTGGCAGAACTGGTGTTCACACTCAGGCCAGAGATGAACGCTCTGATATGTGTTCTGTATCTTTGATAGACTCACAGTTATGAGGGATGGATATGAATACACTCTCAGTAGTTTGTAAACAAACAAAGAAACGTTGTCCCGACTGCACTCACTGTGGCCACCAGGATGTTCGTACGGGTCACCGTGGAACAATAAAAGAGACAAACTGTCCTCAAGCTCTTTGTCAGGAGCAAGAGAAGGCTCATTAAAAAAAGTCCAGTGGTCATTTCACAGGAAAAATGATGCAGAAGGAATTATTATCAGGCTAACGTCACCAGGCAACGAACAGCACCTGTCAGTGCCACTAGAGGTAAAGAATCCAGTCGGGACGGTTTGTGTCATCAGCCAGGAGCTTATGTCCCTGCGCATGGTATCGGGGGCGTGGTGACGGCATACCGCTTCAAACACGTCTGTTCCTCAACACTACGTCCAACATTGTGACGTCAAGGAAGTACAAAAGAAAACCGCAGAAATTCAAAAAGCTTTTCAGTACTGAAAAAGGGTATTTCATTACGGCCACGGACAGATTAACATGCCGCAACTCAGCACACGCTGAGCGTCTTTAAATCGGGCCGTCCGCCGCTCTCCCGGCTCAAAAAAAATAAAGAGCTTTTTGTTTCTCTAATGAGACTCTGTGAACTTGAAATCGACCATTATTCTCCCATGTTTTCCCATTCCACTGAGCCTCTCCACACAGGCTGAACAAAAGAGCAGAGAAAGTGCCAGGCGATATCTCAATTAGTCCTCATTAGACACATGAACGGCTGATGAGGCGACAGGGAAGCAACTATTTAAACCATGAATGCAAGATAAGGCCTAAAATATACTGGTTGAAGTCGAGTCTTTGATGAAAAGACATACTTTAGAGGGACATTCTGCGTTGTCTGTCAATGTCAATCTGTCAATGTCTGATGGGGTGTATGATGATGACCACAATACACCAAAAACGGTGCACGGGACTTTAAACAGCAGCGTACTTCACAACAACACAAGTCTTGTTATAGGCCACCATCACTTTTGTTAAATAACAAATAAATGAATGGGTTACTCAGCCAGATATTTAACATTTGATAACTCAGTATTCATGTCTGCCTTAATTAACTGGTTCTAGCTTTGAAAAAGTAAAGAAGGTATGAAAATGTTCGACAGTTATATCAACAAGCATATGTAAATGGCTTGTAGGCTTTAAGGGGGGGGACTCATTACTGATGAGGATGAAAGCCATAAGACATTATTAAACACTAAATTACCAGCAAACCATACATGAATAGACACAGACACACAGTATATTCATATTAGGATTTCCTTGCTCTACCTCAGTAATTTGTTTGTGTTTCAGTGATGAGGCCTCTTACATCAGAGTGAGCCTCCTACGTTGGTCGTGTGAGTGTGTTTTGCATCCCTCTTGCTCTGTTTTACCAAGAATTTAAAGAATAAAACAGAGCGGAGAGGAACGGGCTTTCAAACAAAGTGATGTTCGAGGACACCAAAAGCAGCTGTCACAGTGAACTGCGGCCAAAGAACAAATCCCGCGGTGTGGTTTCGTTCTGTCTCACCTCGTACCGGCCATCATCATTATCCAACGCCTGGAAGCCGGTCAGCCACACGCCGGGCTCCGTGGCCGCGCAGGGACTCGCCCTGAGCCACAGCAGCTTCTTCATCCGGCTGCGGAGGCCGCGGGACTCCCCTCGGTCACCGCCTTCGTACGCAGGAATAATAGTCCTCATCTCCAACTCCGTGTCACGCTCACGGGCCCACGCACAAATCGTCAGATCTCGCCTACGCCTGCTGCCTCGTCTGCGCCGGGGAGGAGAGAGCGGAGGCATTAGACCGTCGTTTCTTACCGCTTAGAGAGGTTTTTGAAACCATCAAAGGAGCGTCCAGCTCAGCTGTAAGCCGATGCATTCAAATCCTCCTCAACGTTAAAATGGTATTGATGAGCTGCCTAATGAGCTGCGTTAGATGCAGTTAAAATTGAGCATAAAATCCATTAGATTTATCAACGTGAGAGTTTAGTTTAACTCAATTAGTTTGGAGTATTGCTTTCCATTCACTGAATCCCTTCATAACAAAAAGGCACCTAAAACCTCTAAACAAGCCAATTGTGTCTAAATTTAGGAACACTCTATAAAAATGTAGACAAGACAATAACCATGATCTACAAAGTGTTGTACCAGCGTTGTAGGATTATTATCCTATAATAATAATTATCTCTTATGTCCAAAATGACCATGACCAACAATCCACAAAAATATGAAGACTGCGATACAATATACAGTGTAATATAGCTACCATGCTAATGCTCAATATGAACATCATTGTTTTAAAGATATAAAACCCACATTCAGTTACATACACAATTCCCAAAACACCATAGTTATTTAAAACAGTTTTACTCCTACAGCATCCTCAATAAAAATCTGGATACCATTTAAAAGAGACTTTAAATGCAATAACAACCCCATTATCCAACAAAACAGTTACTCACAAGCCTGCCTTGAATCCTGATGAAGACCATGTTCAGGAGCGGTGTGTGTGATCGGTAGTGATCTATGTAGAGAGTGTTAAACTCTGATTGAACAGACTCTGGTATTTATACCAGAGGACCGGTTGTTCTCTGTGTTTGTGGGCGGAGGATGCTCGTGTGTCTGAGTGTGTGTTGGATTGGATTGGATTGGCCCTACTTCCCAGATGGCTGTTCTACCGTATAATAATGTCCCATTTTGATTATATCAAACCATTCCAGGTCACTTGTATACTCATTACAACAGCACCTCCACCTCAGAGCGGAACACAATGTCTCCAGCACAGGTTTGTACTCACCTGGCATAGAAATGTCACTCAACATTTGGAAACCACTCAGTTTTCAGTGGAATCAGACAATGTAAATCATATAACCATATATATGGTGTGTGTATATATATATATATATATATATATATATATATATATATATATTCAACTTATGATTTTTCTATATATATATATTTTTTTTTTTTTATATATATATATATATATATATATATAATATATATATATATATATATATATATATATATATAAAAATCATAAGTTGAATGTCTTAATATAAACATGCCGTCTTTGGCACGTGCTAATCGTTTTGCCTGTTAGTACAAATTCTGAAGCACACACCCGGATGATCATTATTTTTGGGGCAGAATCATCCACATATCTTTTTGTTCCACGTGTATTGAACTCGACCTGACAAAAAGTTCGCTTACGTCAATGAGCTTCGACGGGCTTCGATGTTTCTTACCTGAGGTCGGCTTACAGGCGTACAAAAACGTGACAATTAAAAAGCACATTAGACCCCCGGTACACGTTGGCAGCCATTCACAACCTGCAGCAGTCTGGACGCGAAGCCCCGCCCCCCGCCAGTGATTGGTCAGCGGAAAGGACTAAAAACACTAATAGGAAACTTCAGGTCCACACATTTATATTGTTTTACCTGTATATCAGCCAGCGAGTCTCCAATATGATAGAAGTTGATTTCTGTCTGTGGAACGTTTAATCAAACTTTATATTTTAGTGTCCTATTTGAGAAACACAGTCCGTCACAATATTCTGCTTGCCATGGATCCCTATGAAATAAAAAAAAAATCTCATATGGAAAAACATAATGTGTGGTTCATAATCTAGTTTAGTTCATTTTTTGTTCAATCTGTGTTTTTAGTTCTTCTTTTCTCTTTTTTTGAGAATTTGGACAAACGTGTCAGAATAAACAATAATAATAATCCAATACAATCTCATTATGTTACTTTCCATCGTATGTCCTTCTTTAGTGAGTGAGTTTGATTAAGGCCGGCTGTGAATGTAGGCTTTGTTATGAGGCCCAGGGGGAGGGGGGCATTTCTCAGAGCAGGCCCATATTTTCATTAAAGATTTTTTTTTTTATTGGGTCATCACAGAATGACAGAATGTCTGGTGACGGCATTCCACTTTAAACACGTCTGTTCCGCGCCTCAACACTACGTCCAACATTGTGACGTCAAGGAAATACAAAAGAAGACATTCTGGGGGGCAGGTACTCAAACCAAAACAAAAGACCACCCATCGCCAAAATTATTCATGAAATTAAAAATTATAATAATTAAATAAAAAACACAGTATTTTCAACTTATCTGTGTATTTTTTTTAACAAACTCAAATTGAATAAATAAATGAAAAACAGTCAAACTCAAACCACATTGAAAGTCATTTTTATTCTTAGACATTGATGAATAAAGAAAAAATTGGGCTCCAGCAGAAGGGACACTTTTGTCATCCAGGGCAAAAGGGCAGGTGCTTGAGCACCAATGGGGGTCTATCTGTGCACGTGCCTGAGTATGGAACATTATTCGGGCTATCCTCTGACTCACAGAACACGAAAATCCACCTCACTTCTAGGAGTTGGCTTAATTAACATCACAGCATTTGAGGAAATAGGTGCAACCATTCCTGAGATGCTGAACATTGCACAGACGGTTGAGGCCACGTGTGTGTAAGCAGTAGCTGTTTCGTGCACAGGGCACACGTTGTACGGGACAACGCATTTGTGGCTCTACTGTCTGTGTAATTTAGCCATGAAATTAAAGGCTGGATTGGTGATCAAGTGATAGTTGCGTTTTTTTGATATGTGAAAAAGAGGAACATTACTGTCAACACAACACAAACATTTATAAAACAAATACTCGTCATCACAACACATCATCTGAAATAGTGCTTGTGTTTCTTTTGGGTCTAAGATTGTTCCTTGTTCATTTCAGCCAACAATTTACTTGAAAATTTAAGGTTTTTTTTTTAACAGCACTTATTGATAATTGTGGCGGTTATCTTTCTTTAAGTCTTGGGACAGTTCTGTCTGTTCAGAATTTTCCCTTCTTCTTATTCCAGGACTTTTTCTTGGATTTAGAGTCAATGATCAGCTGAGATTGACGCTTCAGTGCCTCACGCGAAATGATGTCAGACTCTTCCTCGTCACTCTTTTCCTCTGAAACACAAAGAGTGACAGTTTAAACGGTGCACTTGTATGAGAGTGTAATGTGCGTGCGCGTTATTGTGTGTGTTAGTGACGTTGGCTCCCGACTCACCGTCATTGAATAGGTCCAGACTTTGCTCCTCGTGTAGCTTGACACGCGTGTTGTAAGCTGGCAGTTTGCCTTCAATCCTCACGTAGAACTGCTCAGAGCAACAAAAAGATGAAAAAAAACACTAAAACTTGTATGTTATATTTGTTCAATGTAAATTGGCAAAATCAGGGATTCTCAAGATTTGTTTTCAATATCAAGATTTTTTCTTTTCTTTCTATTCTTCTAAGAATAATAACAGAAAATAATAAGTGTTAACACTGATCTTCTGGTGATGTTCCTGTCTATGTTGTCATGTAAATGGTATGAGGGGCGCACGGTCAATCTTCCCCAGAATGGATGCACTTCTTTATGGTAGAAGTGTGAGTTCTTTGACCTGCTTATTGCCGTAGCGGTCAGGCAAACAAGGCTACGCTGATTTTGAAATTATCAGCTCAGAGTTACGTCAAACAGAAAGATTATGCTTTCTAAAAATGGTCAAAGTCAATAGCAGGTCTTACAGTGTGTTACGTGTTTCCTACAGTACACTCTGATATCCCGCAGTGTGTCATCAAACAGAGAGGTTGCTGCTGAGCGTCAGCAATCAAGAACAAACACTCCAATGGCCGCCTTTCCGTTCTGATAAGCTATGCACGCACAGCCGCAACCCGCCACGCTGCGTCCATTTATGGCACCACGCAATGCAGACAAGAGCCCAAAATGCCCTCTGAACTGCATTCTCCTCTGAAGGTTCACGCCGCTGCTCAGACTGTCAAAGCAGGAGTCCGCATTCAAAATGTACTTTACACAAACTAACACAGGAAAGTGTTATGAGACGCATGTCCCCAATCCCTTCCCTGTGGTCGCCTCGCACACGTTTGTCAAATGACTTTCAGGAGGCCTCTTGCCAGAGATTCCTCTGTGGGGACACGTTTAATTCTGCTTGAACGCCTCTGTTGAGTACTGAATGTACTTTGTGGTTGATCTAATTATTTTGAACCTTTGCCACACACCTGTCATTACCGTAATCACAGCACTTATATTGTTCTCACCGTGAGTCTTTCCCCTTGGCAACACGTGGTTTTGGAGACGTCTACTGTGTTCTGAGTACTTTGCCAGGTGATGTATGTGGACACGGGATGTTAGTTTCATAGTGTTCGTGATAGAGCGACATCCATCAACGGAATGTCAAACCGCTTATTTCAGAAGAGAAGCTAAAAAAAAGCGAAATATTGAGAAATACAAACGACACGTTTCTTCTACAGCTCTACTCCACTGCAGGAATAAGATTTGGCTCTGCATTTTGAAACAATATTTATTTAGAATTGTGTTGAAAACATCTTTTATTTCTGTCCTATGCTGGACTTCAATGGCGAATTGTTGATCAGGTGTTTTGAGGCTACTGAGGACAGATTTTAATAATGCCTCTTCCCCCCCGCCCGCCCTCCCTCTTCCACACCCAGCTTCAAACTCAACCTTCATATGAATGTCAGCTACACAACTCGTACATTTTGTGACACTATCACGTTTGACTTACACAGACAGACATTTGGGTCAACCACGCAGACACCGTCGCTGCTGCCAACTCCATACTGCTGTGATTGGTGAATGTCGCAGTATAACCTGCATTTAAAACTACCGCTTCAGTGCCAACATTCTCCGTTCAGGAGAAGTGTGCTATAACTAAATGTGCTACGTGGTTGATCTAATTACCTTCTGCCTCTCGCACACACTTGTCATCTTAACAATGTACACAAACCTTATATGTTTGCCAGGCTATTTATGCAAATGATTCAACAATTTTCAAAATCCTGTTCAGCAACAGAACCTTTATTTAAAACCACAGGGAAGCCGGATGAGTGCTGATGAGTGGACTCACCTCCTCTTCCTCCATCTCCTTCAGGGTAGTAGCCAAGTCCTTTCCCTGAAGCTCCTCGAGGAGCAACTGCAACCTCAGCTCACACTGAGTCATCAGCTCCACCACAAACTCATCTGAGTCCGGAGACACGCCGGAGGCCTCTGTATCCTCACTCTGGATGATATGGTGGTCACATATACAATTATCAGGATTTCTGAGCAGAAAGCCATTTATACTAGACATGGATGTGTTTAGGGAAAACGTAAATTAACACATGACCTACGGTCATGATGGTTGGAGGCGTATTTACCAGCGTGATGTGTTGCAGTTTGTCTGCAAGGTGCTGCACTCCGGCTCGGACAGTACCGAGGGCTTTAACAAGCCCCTCCAGGCGCTCTTCGCTAGCATCACACCTCTGCTGTTGAGCCCGCAGTTGCATCTCACACTCCTGCAGCATCTGTTGGTCGCTGATAAAGCCAGAGAGAACGTGAGGACGCCTAAACATCACACATCTGCGTCCACAGTCACTTGGTTCTACTCCAGCACTACTGTCCGAGTGTCTCACCGGGAGAGTTTAGCCTCTCCAGAATATGTCATTTCCTGGTACTGTTGGTCCAGGAGCTCCTTCTGCTCCTTCAGCTGCTGCAGCACCTTCTCATTCTCTCCCTTCAGCTTCTGCAGATGTTGGTGTGTCTCTTTCTGGGAGATAAAGCGCTCCACTATCTCCTAAAAAGGAGAACCTGTTATCAAAACACCCATCCATGTGTGCATGAATACACAGCTGGTGTGAGCAGTCCTTCTCTTTCCACATCCACACCTGTACATCTGTCACCCCGGTGGCCTCCTTGATTTGTTGGAAGGCCTCCTCAAAAGTGGAGATGACCTTTTCCTCTTCATCCCCCATCCTGGGTGTGCTGCGCTGGGCTTCACTGTTCAGCTCATCTGGCTGCATAGTTGTTCTCTGAGCCTTAAAAGCATAAACAATCAACTGTTATTTGAACTAGACAAAGAATACTAATGAGGCTGGCTGAGTGTTGGAGGCCTTTCTGTGGTCATGTGCACATGGCCAGTGAGAAAGTAGCTGTTCAAACAACTGTGCGTCAGTACAAATACTACAATAACGTTGTTGAAGTGTACAAACATGTAACATCATGTGTATCTCACCCTTCTATCGACTTTTTCAGCCTGGGCCTTGTGCTCCTCGACCGTTTTCCTGTAGCCTGCTAAAATGCGCTCTCTCTCCTTGCGCTCCTTGTAGAGCAATTCCTCCTGCTGCTGTAAGTCCAGCTGGGGGGGAGCAGACGATATAGGAGGAGAAACATTTTTAGGGGGAGAATCGCTGTTTGTAAAGTGATGAGGGAGGTTAATGCATCTGTTTTTGTCGTATCCATGCGTCGACACAGTTGGGGAAACACCGATAGGAACGCTTTGACTCATACAGCTATGTTATTAATAACGAGTGAATCATCCTTGTGACGCCGCAGTAGAAACAGGCATGTTGAAAACCCACTCGCTGGAGAGTTGCGAGTCACCTTAGCAGCTTCTTTAGAGAGTTGTGCCTTGTTGTTCACGACCTGCATGTGGTGAAGCTCCTCTCTGTGCTGCAGGATGTCTGCTTCCAGACTGTCCAACTGGTTCTGGAAAGTGAGACTGTCCTCCTGGAGTGGTGCCAGTAAAGACGTGAAAAGGGGAAAGGACAGCAAGAGTGTCACTGAGCGTTTCTAGAATACAGGATCTGTTGTGACACCGCAATATAAACCTCCGCGTGATTTATAACCGTTCCGTTGTCATTTAGTCACTTTAGTCCGAACAAAGGTAAAGTGAGCCTGTGAAAGGAAGGACCGTACGACTCATCGTTTACACATCACAAACACAAGGGCACGACAACGTGTCAGGGTGAGGGCCATCACCCTGCAGAGAAACAGCAAACATCCACTTTTTATGTACATAGTACCTATATTACTGGCAGACACGGTGGCGAAAACACAGCCTCATAAGGGTATCTGCTCACGGGCAACGCACGGCTAACCTCCGGTGTACTTAAGTAAGTTGCAGTATAATGTCTACAACGAACTGAGGCACAAATCATTATGTGAGGTGGTGACAACAACACTGGGGGGGGGAGATTTGCACAATATCTTATTTTGATGCTAACAGTTTGAACTATTGAACTGACCTGCAGGTGACTTTTGAGTTTCTGATAGTTAACCATGATGTTCTGTGCCTCTTTGCATTTATACTGGGTCTTCTCCAGGCTGTTCTCCAGCGCCCGCAGGTTCTGAGGACACACATGCACACTGTTTACAGGCCGTGTACTATTAAGTTATGTACATATCGTACGGGCGGACACTAGAATTAGTTTCATTTCTTCACGAGGTAACCACCATGGCATCTTCCTCCTTTTTCCAAATGCGAGCATCAGGAGACGGTGCTCCGCTGCTGCTCTCTGGTTTCATTCTCTGGTATTCCATCTGCAGCTCCTCCAGGCGACGCTGGTGGGTCTGGCTGGTGTGTTTTAGGGCATTGAGTTGTTTCTTCTTGGACAGCACCCTGTGCTCGAGTGTTGTCAGAGCGGTCTGAGAAAGGACATGCACGAGTGTGTGAGAGCGAACAAGGGACAGACATGATGACAGTGAGCCAGAAAAGGAGAGTTGTATTATTATTTTTATTTTATTATGCTACTTTTTTAGACACCAAACTGAGAACTTTGTCTATTTTAAATGTTGTTATTGCATTTTACTGGTCCCAACAGTAGTTCAGCTTGGATTAGCAGCAGCAAACCCTGTGGTGAAATAGTCCAACAATATAATTGTGTAGATTAAAACAAAAATATATATAAAATATATATTTTTATATATATAAAATATATATTTTTAATAATAAAAGTGAACAATTCTGCAATCTCAGAGTATGAATGCTCGTTCCTCTCACCTTCCCTGAAACGCTGCAGTAGGCATCCTTCTTCAACCCGCTGTTGCGAAGGGCCTTCGTGACGATATTTCCATCACCCTACAGCAAGCAGAACACCAAAAAGAACCAGTCAGCAATGATATTTAACTGCTTTATTGACTAAGATAAGCGAGGACACATAATAGGCAACAGATATGGGAAGGTTTTCCCAGCATGGTGGAGCTCACAGCATTGGCCTCTGCCAGCTCTCTGCAGAGCCTCTTGTTGTCCTGCCTCAGCCGGCGGATGTGCTCGCTGTTGCTCCTCACGGTGGACTGAGAGCTCTCATACGAGGCGCTTCTGTCGCCCTCTGGTGGACACATTGAATCGTTACACCAACGATACATAATACACGATACGTGCGTCTCATAGTGTGATAGTCACGAAGCTGACCGCTGGTTTCTGTTGGATTTAGTTATGGGTGGAGAGCAGCTGGTCCCCGGGGCGGATTCAAAGTGAATTCTGGCTGCTTGGAGCGAAGCGAACGTCCGCGGCGACATGAACCTGAAATCAACGCTCAAGAGACGAAAATACGAACTCACCCAGAAGTTGGATTTTTCGCTGCATCTCCGTGATCTGGTCGTGATGGGGAGGTTTCTTCGCGTCGGCACTGAGAGGCATTGTCGTGCAGATAAATGTTGCACGCAAATTAGCAAAGGCGACGTGGAGCGCTAGCTTGACCCGTGCCTGGCAGCCTCCGGTGTTGCCTAGCAACGTGTACACTTACAGCAAAGTGAGGCCGACCACTTCAGTATATTAATTTATTTTAGAAATACTATCACTGTTGGGAAAACACCGTGCTACGCCTGTAAAAAAGTCAGAGGTAAATACTCAGAAATAATTTGTAAAATTTGGCCTCAATTGGGAGCAATATGATCATTTTACAATCGGCACAGTTCGACCTATAGGTCCTATATCACTGAACAGAATACACATTTCTGTTCAAATACATGACACTGCTTTAACAAGTGGATTAAATATATTTAGGCTAATGTTCCTATACTTCAAATGGCATTGCCTTAAAAAAAAGAGTAACGTTTATAATAAGCTGTTATATGTCGTCATTAGGAAAATAGAATAGACAATGCTGACAATCTATAATCCACGTCGCTGCAACCCCGAACTTAAGAAGCAGTGGAAATGTTTCTGTTTTGGTGTTCTTATTTGGCAAGACAAGCTTTTATTGGTTTCCAACAAAATAAAATGAAATGTAAAACTTAAAACTTCCTTACAAACTCAACATATGCACATTGATCGTGGATGTTTTATTACACACGTTATATTAAAAAAATAACTTCAGACAAACCAAGTGAAATCACTTGGGTCTTTCGTAATCTCTTAAGGCTTTGAGTAACACACACTTTTAAATGCGTGCAGTAGCAACTTTGGTTTTGAGAGCAAACTGCCAAGTGCAACATAATTAGTTAAACTGACACACAGCTTGAGTCATGTATTAACAGGCTACATTCAAACATAAACTGGAAATCCAATTGGAATAGAATGGACTCAAAGCTTTCATGTAAATACATAACAGTATACGCGCAATGTGAAAAAAACAATGCCAGAAAGATTAAACAATATTTTAAGGCTGTTACTTAAATCCACTGTATGATCTGTAAATCCACTTACCATATTCCTTCAGAAACAAAATAATACGGCTTAAGGCATTGTTACAAAACACAAAAGAAACAATAAAATGCAGACAACATAATTAATCTCATTTGACAGCATAAGACAGACGTACTTGTACCAACAAAGGAAATGGCACAGTAACCTTTCTTTATGTTCTGCTTTCCCCTTACACCAACACAACCGCACGCACACACACACACACACACACACACACACACGCTTAATCCACAGATTTGGCTTGTTCATTGGACTTCTTTAGGAGATCGAGCAGCTTCTGGGACATGAAATACGGCCTCTCTGCTGACCCATCGTTGCGCTCCAGATCCTCCACTGTGACGGACAGAAGCAGTTGAGGACATTTTACCAAAAACATGCCAACACTAAATAGTCATTGAACTATTCTCCTATTCATGCATTGCCTCTCTTTAGCATGTTTTGCCTTTCAGCTGAAGAAGAGCCTCCCGTCCCTAGAGGGACAGTTAAAGCGTCACTTGAAGGAGTATCTTACCTCCAACATCGTCATCTGTACATCTTCACTCACCCTCTGTGACTTCTCACATAGCTCGACGGTGAACAAAGAATCGCTTTTAAAAACAACAAAACAATTTTCGATTCCCTGTTGGCAGTGGTGGCGTGTGAGAAAAGGCTTTTCTTACAAATTCAATGTAGTGAGTTATTGATATAAAATAAGTCTTTTTTGGGGGGCTGTAGTGTTCTTCTGCCATTCATGCGTAAACCCGTGTTGCGTTTCCCTCTCTATGGAAGCCCTATAGGGTCAGAACTGAACATAATGAGAATATTCATAAATCTATGACAAATGGTTGTTATTTCTTCAATTTATATTATGTTTTCCATATTAAATTGAATATTTCTGGATATCAAAGTATGATGTCTAAATGAATGTACCCCAGGCAGATTCTCTTCTCTCTGGTCAAATTACTTCAACATGTAAAATTAGTAGTGGCTCATTTTGTGGACATAAAAACTCACCTGCCTCCAAACGCCGGACCACCTTCAAACCCACACGTTTAGCCATAACAGCACCACTGATTAACTACAATCACCTTTAATCAAGATTTACATCCAATAAATATGGAATGCCATCAGTAAATTCATTGAGAAAAATCAACTTACATCTTTCACAAGGTGACAAACACAAAAAACGGTACAAAAGCATCCAGAGTATTAAGTTGTTAGTCGGGAGCATTCAGAAGGCCATGTCAAAACCATGCAGCACTTAGATAGAGAGACAGCGAGAGGACAGGGGCACAGCGAGGCGGGTGGAATCAGTTAACTACTGGGACAGGGGGACGGGGGGTCCGCAGAGAGGTCACGGCGATTGCGTCACGGCGACACAAACGCAGCACTTACGCCAGTCCGAAATACCAAGGCAAGTAGGTGGCAATACAATACGTGGAATCCCATCTCGGATCTCTACGGGCCTGAAGCCCAAGAAAATACATAACAGACGTACAATGCTGCAGCTATATATACATATATATATATATAGTTCCATAGGAAAAGAAAAATGCAATATTCATACATTATATCAAATATGTGTAACATTTTGGCGTTGGCTGGTATTATTGTAAACAGTGAAAAGAGATTCACCGTTGATTGAGATGTGTGTGTTTTGACTGTAAACACGGTTTTGTAGTGCATTAGGCAACCAGATTAAGACAACAAATATCAGTGACAGCAATCAGGCACAGGTTCAGCACTCACGATGTTCTACAGATCGTCACAATATCGAAACCAACACTGTTCTAAAACCAACACGAGAGAGCTTTTTTTTTGTTTTCCAAGCTACAGAGATGCACCGGGCTTTTGACCTGCTTTGACCTTCGCACGTGGACAACCAGCCTCTCCAGCCGCACGCGGCACCTCTCGCACAGCAGGGCCCTCTCATATTTAAGCTTCAGCTAAGTCGTAGAAACATTTCTATCCATCTTGTGAGGTTTACCGAGCCTCATTTCTTCGCCTTTCATTGCTGGGGACTTCTACTCTTGTGGCGCAGCGGGAGGATTTTCTTCCTTTTCACCAGTCTTCTCTTTCTCCACCTCCTCCTTCTCTTTCTTCTCCTCGTGTTTCATCTCCTGCGTTTCCACCTCTTCTTTCTTCTCAGCTTCTTCTCTCTGCTCAGACTCCTCCTCCTGAATCACTTTCTCTTCTTCTTCTTCCTCTTTTTTCTCCTCTTCAGCGTCGGCCTGCAGCGGCTGCTGCTCCTCGTTGCCCTGCTTCAGCACGGCGTGCTGTTTCAGTTGTATCTGCCCGTCTGGTTGCTCCTGAAGAGGAGTCTCCTCCTCCACCTTCACCTCGTCCGCCTGCTTTGCAGAATCCCCCTGCTCGACACCATCGTGGTCTTCCTCCGTCGCCTTGGAGAGGATTTCGTGCAGCTCGAGGGACATGAAGTAAGGCCGTTCGGACGAGCCGTCGTTTCTCTCCAAGTCCTCACCTTTTGGGTGTGTCGGGGGATGCGTGTTTTGGTGTTTTGGATCGGGTTAATGGAAAAATCAGGGGGGAAATTGAAACGTGAAATGAAGGGAATGTGTGAAAATGAAGAAAAGTAAAAGAGAAAGGAAGAGAAGTCAGAAACATGGCAGGAAGAAGAAACCAGCATTTCAGCTTGGAGACACTTGCATAAGTGCTTGAAAGCAGGACGACCAGAGGAGGTTCGGCTGAATGCAAAGTTACTCACAGAAGCAGAGGAACAGTGTGTCCACGCACATGGCGTACACGCTGAAGAAGCCGTGGGCGATGAGGTAGGATCCCACTACCAGCGTCTGGGTGGAGAAAAATCACATTCATCGAAGCCCACAGGCGAGCAGCTAAAAAAGGATCCATATCACTGCCTCTCACCAGTATTGGCACCCAGTAGTAGTTCAGGGACGGGGCCGCGTCCTCTATGGCACTGATTCTCCCAGAGAAGAAGAAGAAAGAGAAGATGCCTGTGTGGAACGAGAATGTGTGTTAGCGTATTTCAACTTAAGGATCCCGGACAGATCTCTCTCCAAAGTAGACAACAGACACATTTGGTCTAAAAATAGCTGCGCTCCTACCAACGATTCCAACAATGAGGAGCTTCCCAAGAAACAGCAGGAAGTCAGTCACTTTATCTAAAACAGCCACCCTGTGTTGTAAAGGGCGCAGCAGAGAATAGGAGAGTGTAACGTTAAACATTGATAAATGCTCGTAGGGTTACAGCTGTGGGCAGTAATGTGATGAAATCCCACCTGACAATGTTCCTCATCAGAAGGAAGAAGGCGTCTCTGGCTGAAGGACAGAAACTTTTTCCATAGATGGCAATCTGGAGGTAAAAGGCGACACTTTAAGACCTGAGCAGAGCTGACATCTCTCACACGGCTGCGTCCTGTTACGAGGTCTCACCATGATGTAGGCGTTCCTGTTGAGAAACTTGATGCACCTGTTGAGACACCAGAAGCAGCACTTCATGCAGCTTAGCAGGAACTTGGCAAACTTATTCTGAGCACCTGAAGGATGAGAGCAAGAATTCCGTTGTGGGTTAGATATTATTATGACGTTTGGTTTTACACATGCATCCAATAGCAATATTCTAAATGCATATTAAAAGAGACAGTTCGCCCCCAAAATGAATAGAGACATACAGATGTTTCTATTAAATGCAAATGAGTGTTGGGGATTGTTTATTGCATCTCACATCAAAACAATCTGACAGATAAATAACATCACAGGTAAGGATAAATATGTGTATCTTCGATATCGGGGTGAACTGTCCCTTTAACATGGTATCTGATAAATATATGATTAAGGTGATGATTCAGAAGTTAAATCTTCTCACCTTTCAACTTGTGATCCAAGTACTCCAGATGGACCCTGATGACCTGGACCATGGACAGGATCAGGGAGCCAAAAGCCAGGGAGCCTGTGTGGTATCTGGACAGAAGCCAAGCATCAGCATTAAAAACAAAACTCTGCTTTTATATATACTGTATAAAACCAGCAGATCGCAAACACATGCAAGTGGAAAGGGTTGTACACGCAAATACGAAAATATAAATGAAGCCGCTAACCGAAGGGCCCGACCGAGCGAGGAGAAGATGGGGAAGGCGGGGATATCATCGGGCTTCTTGAAGGCCCAGTAATATGAGGCGAAGGCCCCCGACAGAGTGACCTGGCCCAGGGCCGTCACAAAGTTGGCGCACCAGAAGAAGAGAAAGACGTTGTAGAACTGGAACAGGATGAGGTATTTGTGGTAGAGGGTCTCCCCACCGTAGAAGGCAAACAGGCACTCTGCATCAGGACACACCGCTGAAACGTTGGAAGTGTTGAAAGTCTGGAGAAAGAGAGAGACCACAAAACGGTGACACAATGTGGGAAATTTCTGCCTTACTTCTTTTTTTTTAAATACAAGCAGTATATTTTGCCTTTCTTGTGGCGGTGGCATTTAGAAGCGTACCTTGGGGTTGCAGGTCTCTCTTGCGTACTCACAATCAGAGTTGTTGAACACTTTGTACACCTGGTCGTTGGAGGTGGACAAGAAACTGGTCAGAGCGGTCAAGGAGGTTCAGTCAACACCGGGAGGATGTCTCACAATCAAGAGAAATCGCCATCAAATGTATCTTCGACTAATAACAAAATAAAAAAACAAGTAATAAAGTAAATAGCATAGGATTTAGGGGAAATGTTTTCATAAATTTTTATCTTTACAGGCATTTGATGAAATATTTATTATTAAATGTTTCTTCTTACTTTTCTTTTAACGCAAAATATAGGGAGAAATTATTGGAAACAATTTAAGAAACAACTGCATGTAGAGTTGAAAATCTAACTTTTAAGATTGTGACACATGGGAAGGATACACAGCTGTGATGGCCCAGTAAGCAATCACCACGGCGAGGAGGGCAAAGGTCAGCAGGGGGTATAACAGCGATGACATCACGTGACCAACAGCTCTGAAACGAGGAGAAAATCAATTTTTGTAACTAAGAGCAACCCCTTTTATGTAAGAAAATTAGGAAACTGTTTTAGGGAGAAAGACTTCTTGAAGGCTTGTTGAAAGCACAAGCACTTTTCTTGCAGTGCGCAGCGACTAAACCACATCCAGCCCGGCCTTTTGAGGTGCTGGATGAAACTCTTTAAATATAAAAGGGGTCTTGGTAGATTCCCACAGGGGCCTATTTGTTTGCGCCCTTGAAAGGTGGACTTGCAGAGTTCTGATTGGAACTATCACATCATTCAAGACTCACCTGCTGGCCTCTTTGATGAGGGCGATGGCAATCATGATTCTCTTCCTGAGGAAGATGAGGAGCAGGATGACGACGATCTCCACAATAGCCAGGATGATCACTGCAAAACAGAGACCGCGTTAGATGATTGTTATTAGAGCAGGGTTCATAAACACTTCACACAGAGGTGCGCTGAAGACCGGAGGTGTGCATACTGAAGGCCAGCCAGGTCTGTCTGATCTGCAGGTAGACGGAGAAGTCCGTCTGCAGGCCCAGGTCACGGATGGTGACGTCAGAGCCCGGATCTCCCTTCAGACTCGCAAACTCCATGTAACAGTGGGCGATGCCTTTTGGTAAAAGAACATTCATACATGTTAAGTTCTTCATTTAAAAAAAAAAAAAAAAAAAGTGGATAAGCTCTAGAAGATTGGAGTTTACCATATCCGATGACCAAAATGACCAAAACGATCATGACCCAGACCATGATGCCAGCCAGGAATCGCAGCAGGACGATGAAAATCAAGCTCACAACCATGGCGATGACCAGCCCACTGCAGGGGGGGACACATCAAGGCAACAACACAGTTCCTCAGCCATTTTGCCTGGTAGCTTGACAATCGCAGTCATGCATGCGGTAAAAAATATTCAATAGCTTTTAGTCGGTATTGAACACTCCAAAGTAAAAAAACATTGCCTTGATTACTGTGTTTCGAAAGCTACAGAATGTCAGCTGACTGAATCAGCTTAGTGGCTATAAAAAACAGTTAATAGGAAAAAATATGTAATTTCTAAAAAAAGAATGTTGTGTTACACTCCTGATGTTTTGGTACTGGCTACTTTTACCACTGCGAAGTGGACAAACTTACAGTAAAATCCAGTGCCAGGACTGAGTGTAGTCCTCAAAGATTCTCATGGCCACCTGGCGAGCCTCAACAACCACATTCGATTTCCTGTAAAATGCAAATGAATTCAACAACCACGTCGCAAAAAGAATCCTGTAGACATGTGCAGAATTGGAGAACCGAACCAAATAATAGCCGGTTTGTAAAAGAAAAAGATAAACGCTTTGTAAAATCAATCAATTACACGGGAGGGATTGGTTGTTATATTATTTGTATTGAACATACTGAAGTCGCTCTATTACAGTAGTTAAATGAATTTAGCCAGGGAAATTTTACTACATGTTTAAGTTTGGGGGCTTTGTAAGGTCAAATAATAAATGTTACATACCGTTTACTTTAGAATGTAATTATTACGTAATAAATTACACATAGAAAATTAAGATGACGATTGCATTAATAATAATTTGACTCCAGCTGCTGTCTGCAGCAAGAATACAACGGAACAGCTTGTGACACTCGTCATCTTGATAAATAGCATCCAGGGAGCATTGCAACGGCCCCCAGCGGGAATCATGAGGGTAGAAAACACAGACATAAAGCCCCCCCGGGGGAACACACTAATAGAGCAGAAGCAAAGCAGGCGTACGACGTACCAGACACACGGGAACGCGCGGGCAGAATGAGAGCAGAAGGAGCTTTAAGAAGCCCACCAATCGCTGAGGTGTGATGCGCCTGCAGTCAGCTGACGCGTGGCTCGTTAGAGATTGATAACCGCTGCGATTATTAAACGGATACGGTGGCTTTTAATGACATCCACGTAGCCTCTGTAAGTCGGCGTACGGCGGCGGGACTCACTTGGACGCCTCCAGCACGTCTGTGGCGTTGATGTTGTAGCCCTGTCCGGCATCGAAAGTGGTCTCGTTGCCCACCACCACGACCCCACCTTTCAGTGTTCCCAAGGCCGGAAGGCAGCGGCGCGTGACTGTGGAGGGAGGACACAATCCGTTTGCATACAGACCTTTAAATATCGTTCCATTCGTCACAGGCGCAGAACGAGCTTCTCACTCACAGGCTTTGCTTGGCATCAGCATGGCAGGACACAAGCCGTCTTTCAGGATCTCGGGTGGACTCTGAATCAAGTGAGACGCCCTTTAATACACCGCAGCTTTTGCACATTCATCAATTTAAGCTTGTGTATAATGGGACTAATCAAATAATTACCAATTTAGCAAAGTTCACTCCATCCTTACAGTACTGTTGGAAGTATTCACGGTCTTCTTTGCTGCCTAACTTGGCTTTCACCAACGTCAGATGCCTGTCGGGGCAGCTCTCCACGCATAACTGGACACGAGAAACGCAATACAGTCACGACACTCAGTGAGGAGGGAGAGAAAATGTGGCAATGAACACAAAATACAAAGAGATATTGCTTCTGACCTGTGTGGTGGGACACTGGAACTCCAGCAGCACCAGAGGGCTGGCACATTTCAAGATGTTGAAGTAGAACAGAAGAGGCTTCCTCCTGTAAAACAAAACTGTTATTATCACAAATCATGGTCTCAAAAGTGAAACTGAAGACTTTATACAGTCAGCTGACTTACTCCAGAGGGGTCCCAGCTTGTCCGCAGAACTGGCCCCTGCTGTCCGTGGGATAGATCACTTTCCTGGGGTCACCCTGAGACCAGGCTGCACGGAGAACCAAAGGTGACCATTCCATCGAATGACGAAAAACATCCAGAGCGGAAAAGTGGCACGTGGTGCTGGCGTCGGGTCTTTCTAATCATACTAAATGAAACTAACATTTTCCATAACGAGTGTATGAGCGATCACCTTTCGAGGTTGCATTCTGGGAAACACACAACCGCTTGAATATTTGCTTTGCATAATTTGTAATAAACCAAATTGGTGAAGGAGAGCCGTGAGACACGTTTTAATAAACAAATAATTCAGACAGCGCCAATGAAACAGTTTGTATGCCTCTTACCGACGATACCAACAGCAAAGTAACCCAACAAGGCCAAGATGAAGAGAATACAGCACAGGACATCTGTGCAGCCCCTGAGCAGAGGAGAGAAAGAGGCAGAGTACGTTTATTTGGGTCTTGTCCTGCAGAAGGACAATCAAACTGAATTGTTATTGGAGATTGAAAAAGACATGTCACCTGTTGTGAAGCGGCCCTTTGAAGTTGGGGTCAAACTTCCTGGACTCCCCTGTTGATAGAAACAGACAACGGAGCTTGTTAATGTCTCCGACCAGGAATTGAATTTGAAACATTAAGGACACTAAACCAAAAAGTAGCCGTCTACGTCGATGGACCACAAACCACATTCTCAACAAAGACCTGAATGAAAACTTCTTTCCCGTAAGTAAAATACATTTTTGATAATTGAATAAATTAAGTTATGTCAGTTAACTTTTTAACACATCGAATTCCTCGGTTGTGTGTTGTATACTGACATTGGGATTAATATCACAGTATAAATGAATACATATCTATTCCAATTCCACTAAATAATCATACTAATAGAATAAATGCCCATAGTTGCCAATAGTCTTGCTGTCCTTTGACTAGTATATTTTTATAGGAGATGGGAACTAAAATAAAATACACTAAAATGTGTTAAATAAAATAAAAAATAACGAGAATATGAGCACCTCCTGATTGGTAAGTCAATTGTCTTAAGAATGTCTATGTCTATTACTATTACTTATGGCTAAAATAATATAAATATGCACCTGTGACTGTTTATTAAGACTAATCTTCATTTGTCGGGATCAAAAATAAATGTTCCTCGTGCAACAACACCGCTTGATGGTTTATTTAGATGATTTGATGTCCCGGGGTTTTTCTGCCACAGTTAAGTCCAGTTAGATAAATGGGCAGAAAATATTGTTCCTTGGTACTTTTGAAGTGCTTATTGGAGCACGGTAGCTTTGGCAAGATATGCATGTATGATAGTTTCTAAACTGAGCTCTAAATCAATCAGAACATGGTTAAGTGTCACATACTGCTGACAAACAGCAGTTCTTCCAATAATGTGCACTAAATCTTGAATGATTACTGCTCACTGTCAATATCTACAAAAGACTCAATGTGTGTCCTCACAAACATGTCTCCTGGTGAGGGAGATACACATTTACAAGCTTAAGTCCAAGTATTGACAAAGACCAGACATTCTTAAGAACAAAAGGATTCTCCTGCCCGACTTGCCGTGCCTAGCAACCCACAAAATGGCTCCCCGGCGACAGGGAGCTCCCCCGTGGACCTCACCAGCCGCCATGGAAACACCTCGGAGCCGCACATCAACCCAGCACAGTGAGCTCATCCTCCCGTTTAGTGTCCCACCTTGTCTTACACGTCTAACATCTAACAGTCTCCTGGACACGCACACCCGCAGAACACACGCAGACACGCTGTGTTCGAGGCAACGTGCGACCCAAAGCAGCCCGCTAACTGATTATAGACGGACAGGCTCGAGTAACGACAATAAGACCATCAGTAGAACCCGAGTTCATCATAACCACAGTACCTTGTCGGTCGTATTTTGTCATTCCGTCGTTGTTTCTGTCTCAGTGTCTGTCATGGACTCGGTGTGCCGAGTGCTCCTTCCTGTATGAGATCTGAGTCCTCTCACCCCGAAGTCTTCACTTCCTTTTTTTGAGCATATTCAAAGATGTGCCCAACGCCTCCTGTTCCCTCTACCTTCTCTCTGTGGTCGCTCTCTCTCTCTCGCTCTCTCTCGGCCGGGATTCGTCGGGGCGACTTGCAGCAAAAAACTCGGCAATGACGGGGGAATTAGAGAGAGGAGCCGCAGACGCAACAAACACCGGAGACGGCGCCTGTGACCAAAAGGGACGACACGGCGTGGTCTGGAAAAGTAACAGTTATTTTGGGCTTTAACTCAACGAGATGAGCTGTGTTTAGCGTTTCTTTGATACGGCTGTTTTCTCAGCTTCCTGTTTCTACTTTAGGTTGTGTTTTTCCACCCCCGCCACCACATCCTCCCTCTGTCACGTTCAAATGTTACATCAAGAACTTGCTGAGCAAATAGAAACTGAGCAAACACTGGGGATTTATTGAAATGGTTTCTTGCATTTTCAAGGCAATGATTTGGTTATCATGCTCAGTGTGTGTGTGTGTGTGTGTGTGTGTGTGTGTGTGTGTGTGTGTGTGTGACCCGTGTGAGGCGGAGGGACTGAACTGTTCATCAGGGACAAGATCGTCTCTGGTGACACATGGTCTGTTCATCCCACGTCTGCTGCCATGTGACCGCATGCCAAAGCATGAAATACAACCCTGACTGTCGGCCTCACTCACACACACACACTCACACACACACACGTGCCTGTTATATACACGCTGCTGGGTCGTTGCACATACAAACTGAACCTAGTTCTTTCTTATAAATTGAGCCCCCTTTGTCTGTATTGTAGCCAACAGAGGTGTATATCAACACTAAAGACTGCGTATTTGCTTTCTTTCTTAGAAGGATGAGAATATTGCTTATTGCACATATCCAGAGTGTTATTAAGCGAGAAAATCAATCCCCAAATCTGATATATTAGCCAACATTCATGATTTAGAAGATGCGCTACAACATATCATCATTTTTGATTGGAGATGCTGTTTCAATTACCATGAATGTATGTGTGTGTTGTTTCTATGATGTCATCTCTTACTGCTCAAATTTACTGATATATCAATACGACTATGCTGTCAATTGAGAATGTTATTGCCTACAGAGTTACTTCTAAGTAGAAGCCGATTATTGGTTTTCAAATATGATTCAGTTATAGATTTGGATTGTTGAGATATTAAACCATAATAATTCTGGGCAAATGTGAATTTACACCAGTACCCACAAGTTGCATCAATTAAATCTGCAAAGGTTTTCAGTGTTCTGTCAGCAGATAGAAGTAGTTAGTATTTATATAGAAAGTTGAAAGGCTTTGCTGATGCTTCTCGCCCGCCCCCTGCCATCACTTTGTAGGTTTACACTTTCTCTTTTTCTTTCCGCAGAATGATGAAGATTTTAAGTAGTTTTTCCATCAGCCTTTCCATGCATGGACCATCTGATAATGTGAGAGACGCAGCTCCATTAGAGCTGGACAAACAGGAGACTCTTTGATTGCTTTGTCCCATAAACAATCTCTGATTGTGCAGGAAAAGCATTCCAACACAATTGTTGTGCACAAATGCTGCCAAATGTCTGGTAGTTTATCTAAATCTGTAATTGGTAAATGAATGGGACAGTTGTTCTCTGGTGTCAGTCTCAGTAAATAGCAGTAGCAAGGAGATTCATTTTTTAAGATGTGTACATTTTTTCTCTGTGGCCTGTGGTGTGAACACACACAAGGCCTGCCAGGCAACCTCAGTCTTCATTCAGGTCCACGCAGAGTTCAAGACGTCTGCCCAACCTTACTGATGTGATCTCTGTTTAGTAAAACCATGAAATACTTCCTAAAAGTGGAATATACACAAATGTAAATGGCAAAAGTGGAATGATACCATAAAGTATCTGCTTCTGCTGACGACATGCTTTGCGTCTCTGGTGTGTGTGTGTGTGTTGCAGGAAGTGATGATGTCATGACTGAGGTGATTCACTAATGGGCCCAGAGGGGTTATCATATGAACCCTGCCATGGCTGCCCTAATGGGTTAGCGGCTACTGTGGTTGGTTGCGTGCGTGTGAGCGTGTGTGTGTGTGTGTGTGTGTGTGTGTGTGCTGTGATGCATGGGATATTGTGAGTACACACTGCTGAAAACAGTAAGAATGCCTGGTAAGTATTCTCAGAAATGAAGGCACATCAGGATGATGTTGTTATGAGGTGCTGAAAGGCCTTCTTCAAGATGGACAAAATTGAGGGCCAGAGTGTGAAAGACTTTTGGATTCTTAGTTGGAGCCTGTAGATAGTGATGGTTAACATGTGTGTTTTACCGCTGTATTTAGCAGCTGTTAGTAAAACTCCTCTTTGTCACATACCAATCAGCTCTTTGGCCTACAGATTCATCCAAGAAGGAAACACATTAAAGTCTCTTTTTTGGTGTAGATAAATACTTGACAACCAGTAGCTTAGATCACTAGAAACTTCTGGATGAAAAAAACAGTTTGTCAGATTCCCCCGAACCAACAATTGAAATGAGAAGCAATCATTGTGAAACATTTAGCAGCGGTGTCTCAGCGTGTATGTGTGTGTACATACGCTGTGATAGTGTCTACTGAGGGGTTAGAGCAGGCAAGGCTAAACACACCCCGGCCTTTGCAGGCTGCAGCCTGCCGGCCTGCAAATCACACCGGCCTCGGGAGAGGGGAAGTCTAGTAGCAACTGTGTGCAACCAGGGACTCACAGGTCCAACAGTGCTGATAAAAAAAGACTGCTGTAAAGATCACCGGCGAGCTGGAATGTGCATTGTGCGTTCGCATCATATAAAACCTTTATCTCTGCTTTTTGACCTTTCAGCCTTTAAGAGGGGGGGGGTGGGGGGGGGGGGCGAAGAAACCAGAGCTGGTGTGCTTGAACAGGACGTGCTCTGCAGAGGGAGCTTCGTGGATTGACTGGATTCGGGTGTGGGGCTGTCGGGTTATTCTTACATTGTGAAAGAAGGAACAACGTGACCATCTGAAAACATTAGCGCTGTCCTCCTAGTAAATTCCAGCGTGGAGGCTGCGGTTTGCCGTGGGCCCCGTCTCATGTAACAACACATCGGCAAAGGGTTTTAAAGGAACTTCATGACTCAACAATAATCCGGCCCAGACACAAGGCCGGGCTGCTGTGGGTTACTAAACGGAGAAAACGCATAGATGACACACATGACAATTGGCAATGACTAATGGTCTGGCGTAAAGAGAGAACACAATCTAGCTGGCCTACTGGTGGTGTGTTCCTGCAGTACCGAATACACTGCAGGTAAAGCTAATGTAATCACAGCATTTAAACACAAGCTTTGTTTTAATAGATAGCAACCTAGTTGTTCTTATTGTTTGGGTTTTCAGTGACATTAAGTCGTATACCAACAATAATAATAGTATATATTCTTTAATAGGTGTTTAGTTTCAGTTGTGGTTTCATTGCAGGCTTTTCAGTACGGGCGGTTAAAATACGGCAAAATTATCCCAAAACCACCAGGTAATTTGCAGCCCGACGCTTTCATTCGTGTGTATAGACAAAGGAAAAAAGCAAGACTAACAGTTCAGCGAACATATTATGAGATTAAACATAAGAAGCCCTCTGAAAAATAACTCGGGAGTGGAGGATGAGGAGGACTTCTGCATGAGGTCCACACCCATCCATCCCCTGCAGTCATTGTTTCCATTCCCTCGCCTGCTAAGTGGAAATCAAAGATCGAAGAGAAAACTGTGACATTAAACCTCTTTACCGTATTTTGGGTCCGTTTTTTTTTCGTCCGGCTCCATTTTCACACACTGCTTGGCTCCTCGCGGCTGATCAGACGTTAGACAGGACAGTTACCATGGACATGTCGAGGGGAAATCATCAATAACAGTGGTGTAGCGCTCCAGCGACATACACACAGAGCGAGAGAGAGAGACCCTCCCAAACGGAACCCCGGTGCATTCCAGCCTGGTGGAAAAGAAAGGCAGCCAATTGGAGAGCAGAACAAGGTGACGAGCAGCTGCCGCAGCCAATCACAGTCCGTCTGCATAGAATAATACAATTTTGCTTGCCGTTACTTCAGCGGAATGTGCAGAGAATCGATACACCTTCATTTTTTGTGTAACGAACATAATTAATTTAGTAAAACTGGTTGAAATGACCACTTTCCTATTTAAGATTACATTAGATTAAATTTAGTTGAGTGTTTAAACACAATGTGTGTGATTATGTGAGACGAAGTACACCCAATAAATGATTATTACTAAACTGCTGTATTTAAGTACAATTAAGAGCTTTGCAGATAGATGCACCCGTTTTGCCAAGGTATGTCTCTGCGATCAGTGTATAAAATGTGATGAATCATTATAGATTCAACTGCCCAGAAGTACTGAAAGTATTTTAAAAAAAACACTCTATTGTATTGTGGTGCTTTTCATTTAGCTGCTTGTGTGTACACCTACTTAATTAACATTGACAATAAAGGTCCTTTGATTATTGGAGGTTTTCTAATGCTTTATTGATACATTTTATTTTCTATAAATGTAATTAAGAACTTTTCCTAGCAGATAAACTAAACGGCAAAGTAAGGAGAGGCTATAACATGCACATTTTAAATAACTTGGCTGAATGGTGAACCGTGACGGATTGCTCTGCCACACCTCTGGCCACAAAGGTGTCAGACATGTCGGTAATAATTTAAAGGTTTCTCAAGAAGGCTGTGAGAGCATGTTTGGCATCTAAAGTATCACTAAGTCTTAATGTCTTGCATCCATGTTACAAAGCATCCCGGTAACATGTTTCCAGGGAAAATCAATGGTGACATCTGATTAATTTGTACCCCCGTAACACTAGATTGTTACATTGCAAAAGGTCCTGTCTTTTGTTATTAAAATGAAAGCTCATGGTCATACTAAACCATTTCAAAACATTTGGTCTTTAATGGGCATTTGTCTTTTCGTTTTTGTCCGTCTTCTTTCCTACATTACTTACAATAATATAAATACTGATATAATACTGTCGGTATTTTGTCAGCTGGCCCCCTTTCAATAGCAGTGTCACTTATAAAAGTTGGGGGGCAGAAGGCATCGAGGGCTTCTTATTTTGGGAGCCAATGAGCTGCGAGGCCGCGGGTCAACACCCTCCCCTCACCCCGGCCCCCCGGCGGCCCAGATCGCCATTTTAAGTGTGGAAAGACCCTGAGAGTCTTCTTTAATTATCTGTCACCTCTTGTAATTTAAGTCTTTGGCCGTGGTCGATACTGGACGCCGCCCCCAACCGAAGAGCTCCCCGAGTTACTTCGATAAGATCATTTATTCACTCGAGCAGACGGCCCAGAGCAGAATGCGTCACTTGCGTAGCTTGCGTAACGTTCATGCGTTGCACAACCGTAGCTCGCGCATTGCCTCCAGTGTTCTCCGCCTCACCTGTCATGGTGGGAGGGAGCTCCCACGTTTGACGTTACGTATGCCTGTGACGTAGCAAGCGCGGAATATTACTTAAGCGACTTTCTCCAGCCGCGCCTGACCGCTTCAGATCTGCAGATCAGCCGATAAAGGAAGGAAAAAGGTACCGTAGACCGATGCTTTCCGCAGGAAAACGTCACCACGTCTTCATCCTCGTTGTTGGACGGACCAGTCGGTTTAGGATTTAGTTTCAACGTGGCTCACAAAGAAAGGGACGTATCGCTTGTTTGTTCTGACTCTCAGTCTTAACATTACAAAACACATTTCAAATAGTTTTGCCTAAAAAGTGTCTAAACGATGACCAAGGTCCTGCAGGAGTCATTATAATGAAACGTTATGCTCGAAACCATGTTTATGGGGCCAACAGAACTGTAGTTAACATCTGGTCAATTTAGCCTACAGCTGTGTTGCATAACAATGTAATATTAACAGTGAATGTGCTTCATTTGGATGTTACTTTCTCTCTGGGACAGTTTCAACGGGCTTAAAGCGATTTAAGTTTAAATCATCCAACTTTAACAATATTTTTCATCTTCTTTTCCCAGATGTCTCTCAGAGGTTCTGTAACCCGTCTGCTCGCCAACAGCCAGAAATGTGCTGCCGTCACTGCCTGCAGAGCCCAGGGCACAGCTGCTGCGGCTGTCAAAGGTACACTTAAATGTCTTCAGCAATTCTTTCAAATTTAAGAAATAAATCCTCATGTACTGTATTTGGATAAAAAGGAAAAAGAAACTTCCATGAGGTGAAACAAGGTATAAGTCGTTTGAATTTGTCAACATTCTTCTTCCTTTTTAGATGTCGCCGAAAGCAAAAAGCCTGCGAAGGCCCGTAAGTGAATTTGTAATAAGTCAAAAGTAGTGTTCATATTCCTTTTGCATGCTCTTCGGTCTCATGTCACCGTGACAAAACCACAGCACGCGTCTCTGTACATGTTTTGACCCTCAGCCAAGGTGCCGTTCAACTGGCGAGACGCCCTAAATCTGGAGGGTCAGCTGACGGAGGAGGAGATCATGATCCGGGACTCCTTCCGCGACTACTGCCAGGAAAAACTCATGCCCCGCGTCCTAATGGCCAACAGACACGAACGTAAGCAAAGCACACAGCCATGGCCTGTCTGTCTGGAATCTGCCTATGGAACTGTGTCGTCCCAGTTTACTGCAGGTGCTGCATTAACAAAAAAATAATAACGGCAGGAAAGACAAGAAGGGCTCATATAGAATCTTTATAAAGTTTGAAAATGTCCATATTGGAGTATCATAGATCAAGCTTGTATAACATAAACTTCCTTTTTAGAGCTCTTTGTAGTCAGGTTTGGGCTTTTTTAAATTTACTTACAGATATTTCATTGTCAGTTTTTAATTTTCCCAACATGCACCCTGCCACAGAATTCCACCGTGAGATTGTCTCAGAGATGGGAGATTTGGGCGTCTTAGGCCCGACTATTAAAGGTAAACAGAAAGAATGCAACATTATCAATATGGTCCGACAGAATATACATGCTCAAGTATCTTTTGTTCTACCGGGTTTCTAGATACGCCTTTTACATGTTTTCTATTTGTTGCGGTGAGGACTACCTGACGGTGTTTCATCCCCCCTGCAGGGTACGGCTGTGCAGGCACTAGTTATGTGGCGTACGGCCTGATCGCCAGAGAGGTCGAGAGAGTGGACAGCGGGTATCGGTCCGTCATGAGTGTGCAGTCCTCACTCGTCATGCATCCAATCAATGCTTATGGCACCGAGGCCCAGAAGGAGAAGTACCTGCCCCGGCTTGGTGAGGAGGACGTGTCCATGTGACGTGTCTGTATTTGCACATGACATCGTATATAAATAAAGCCAAAGGTCAGTCTCTAGATTGTCCTTCATGTTGCCATTCGTCTCACAGCTCGAGGAGAGATCCTGGGCTGCTTCGGCCTGACGGAGCCCAACCACGGCAGTGATCCCAGCAGTATGGAGACCAGGGCCAAATACAACCCGTCCAGTGGTACCTTCTCCATCAGCGGATCCAAGACCTGGTAGGCAGAACGAGCAAGATGCGTTGATTTCTCTTGTCTCGAACGAGACGAACATGATGATATGGAGGGCGCTGCTGGAAAAATATTTGTGTTTTTAGAAGGTATTTAATGCCTTACGTGTTTGTTTGGATTAATCCTACATTCCGAGGAAAACTCTTTAATAGAATTAAAATATTTTAATTAATTATGGCATTAATTAATTGTAGTCCATCCAATTTAAAAGTCAAACTTTACTCTGCTGCTGCAGCGCAGAACATTTCAAAAGTGTCTTCTGTAGTTTTGGACCCAGCAATAATTTAGAATGTACACCCGTGTGTTTACTGCCTGCTGCCCTGGATTTAAAATGGTTTGGGGGTATAGTTTTTGGAGACTGGTGATAATTTATACTGCAGAGCTTCCGGAATGTATTAACCAATGCAGTTCATCACCTAAGTTGAAAATAACGATTAAGACTGTTGCAAACGGCGAGCCCTTAAAGTGAAACACTTCACTGTGTAATCATTCGATGAATGTGTTTCATGTTGCTCGTCCTCCTTCCTCTCTCAGGATCACAAATTCTCCTGTGGCAGACATTGCAGTGGTGTGGGCCAAGTGTGAAGATGGCAAAGTGCGGGGTTTCATCTTGGAGCGTGGAATGAAGGGTTTCGCCACCCCCAAGATTGAGGGCAAGTTCTCGCTGAGGGCGTCCGCCACTGGCATGATCCTGATGGATGAAGTGGAAGTTCCCGAGGAGAACCTACTGCCCAACGTCTCTGGTCTAGCTGTGCGTTGGTGCACTCGTCGTTCAGCTCAGCTCCAGCAAAACTGAAATAGATTTCACCCAAAAATGTAACCTCTCTTTTGTTGACCTTTTCCAACCAGGGTCCCTTTGGCTGTCTGAACAACGCTCGGTATGGCATCGCATGGGGAGCTCTGGGAGCTGCTGAGTTCTGCTTCCACGCTGCCAGGCAGTACACTCTGGACAGGTACGGGACGCTGTGAGCTGAACTCTATGGAGATTGATTGATGGTTTTCTACTTTTTATTTTATTTTCTCCCCTCCTATCAGAATGCAGTTCGGGGTGCCACTGGCCAGGAACCAGCTGATGCAGAAGAAAATGGCTGACATGCTGACAGAGATCACGCTTGGGCTTCAGTCATGTCTGGCCTTGGGAAGACTTATTGATGATAAAAAGTGAGTCTTCTCTGTCTTGCTTTAAATATCGGTCCCTCTTTACTAATAAAAACATTTCCCGTTAAATGGGTTTGTTCTCGTCCTAACAGAGCAGCACCTGACATGATCTCCATGCTCAAGAGGAACAGCTGTGGTAAGGCTTTGGATATTGCCAGACAAGCCAGAGACATGCTGGGTGGAAATGGCATCTCAGATGAGTACCACATAATCCGGCACGTCATGAACCTAGAGGCCGTCAACACATACGAAGGTAAGCACGTGGGTCACTAATGCAAGAAAAGATCATTTCAAACTTAAATAGCATTTATGTAAATCTACCACTAGGGGGCAGCAGTGCATAATTACTACACGTTGATTAAGAGACATGTTGCTGAACTTTGTTGTTGTTATTCTGTTAGAATTTAGCAAAATTACTGTTAAAGAAAGTGAAACGAAATTATGTTTAATGTTTTTTTTTGTCCATTGTTGTTTATAGGAACGCATGACATTCATGCCTTGATTCTGGGCAGAGCCATCACTGGACTGCAGTCTTTCACTGTTGAAAAGTAAAGGCTGATTTGGACTTGCTCTGATATCTGCTTCGAATTTGGTAAAGTCATACGTGTAGAAACATGAAGTAATGTACCTCACATTATGAGCTTACCCCAATGGACATAAACATACAAATCAATACATTTTTATGTTATTGTGACGGGAGCTTTGGCATCTTTGGTGAATATGTAGGGTCAACATAGCTCTGCATTGGGTCCAACAGTGATGACATTTATACAGTTAGGAAGTCTGAAATGAACTTCAGACACCGCCTACGCATGGTGCATGTACACGGTGTGGCATTATGACTGTTTATTTTTTGTTGTTGTCACAATTGGATAATATGTAAATAAATGGCTTTGAAATGATGATACATACTAACATTATGTATGTTGTAAGAACCTTGTCCCTTTGTGCTGACTCATTTCAGTAATGGGCCTTATTTGTTTTTTTTAATTGAATTAACAAATACTGGAATTGTACATAAAATATAAACATATTTTCAGCTTTTGCTCTTTTATTCTATAACAATCAACAACTACAACAATCATGAGCTGTGAACTGAACTGAACTGAACTGCTCTCCCAACCACAAAGACACAATTATGCGTGTGTTCTTGAGTAAGAGGAAGAAGAAAGAGGAAATGGGAGAAATCTAAATAACTCCTGCATTGGGAGAAAATAAACTAGTCTGAAGACACAACTCATTGACCTAAAGAACACATTAACTAATTAAAAATCAAAACAAAAATCACAACTAGTTCATCAGAGTTCTGATGCCTGCGTAATGGCCAGCGCTCCCCTGAGACTCTCCAGCGCCTGGCTGGCCTCCTCGAGCTCACTGTTGAGCTTAGTGCAGCTCTCCAGCACCTCGCATAACTCCTGCAGCATCACCTCCATCTCTTTACTGGTCTCGTCATAGATCGTGTACATGTGCTCCTTCATCTTCTGACACGTCTCTGTCACCTTGGGGATAATATGTGAGGTGAAAGAACAAATCAGTCCCAACGTTTCTGGTGGCGCCAGAAACACAGTTAAGAACGGAGAAGAGGTGTCACTCCGTAATAAAAGCGTGCAGTTCATTCGGGCCAAACATGGAAGTTATGTACATAGTCTTTGGTGTGTACAGCAGGACATTAGTTTTATACCTTCTCCACTAACTTCTCCTGGAAGCTGTCCAAAACTTGCTGGTTGGTGGTGCGGCTGTCATTCATCTTTTCAACCAGTTCCTGAACTCTTCTGCTGATCTCAGCTATACTTGAGCTACAAGACATATTGACATGTGTGTAGTTGGAACTTGACTTTAAACCTAACTGGATTATTTACTGTCCGCCCAGGGGCAAGTAAACCGAGCTGCTCAAGTAAAAGCACCTCCTGTATGAATTGTCCCTTCAGTAAATGGATTGGACCGTGTGGGTAAAGCTGTACCTGGTATGCTGCTCTTGACCCTCGGTCGCGCTCGTGAGAGAGGACTTCCCGCTCCATGACTTAGGATCTTCTGGCTGTATCAAGGTCAACGACAGATTAAAAACTATTGCATCATCCTTCCCAGGTGGCTGGCAGTAAACCTGAAGGGTTCAGGTATCGTTTACGGGATCCCAAAAGACAATCCGGATTATAATACCATTAATGGTCAACGACAAAAAAAACACAATACACGTTATACATTATGCTGCCCCAATCTATCATCATTTTTTCAACAGTAGTATTTTGTGTTTTGCAAGTTCATTCTGTGCAGTGCTTGTAAAGAAATACCATATCTGGGGACAGGTGGGTCTCTGCTGTGAAGCCATGTGGCTCTTCGTGTTGCATGTCGGATGTGGACTGAGAGCTGGAGGGCAACGCGAGGTCATCGAAGAAAAAATCCATTTATGGTTGACAGCTAAAACCGGATTGAAATAACACAAACCTGTTCAAATGCACGAATATCGCCAGTGAACCGCAGAGATGTAGGCTAACGTTAGCAGTCTTATAGCAGCATAATATAATTAAATGCCTCCATTCTCAACTTTCTAACTTAGCTCACTGGTTTTAACTAAATGAACGTTAGCCATCCTAGCTGTAAAGTCTCCTTAAGCTCAACATTTACAACACCACATAATTATTAGAATTCTTTAGTTATAGTGTATATGTGTGCGGCTTTATAGTCCCTCTACTCACATAACCTGAGTTATTAAGACAGTATCTTGCTGAGTGTAAAGTTCATCTTAGCATTAGCTACGAGCACGCTAGCTAGTTAGCTAAATGCTAACGTTAGCCCTGTTTTCAATTGTGTTGCTTAACAAGCCAAAATACTACAACCCACTCGCTTAAAAACGTAGAATAGACACGCTATATTTATAAAGGTACCGTATATGGTTAAAATAATAACATGTTCTCACCTGGTTAGCAGTGCTGGAAGCAGTAAAGTAGCAACAACTCCCAATAAAAATACTCTGTGAAATGAATGAAGATACTTGAGAGTTGCTTTTTATTATGCAGCCCCTTAGTATGCTCAGGAGTGTAATTTTAATAAAAAAATATTGTAAGATTATATTTGGTAGGTGCAAAACAGAACATGGAAATACTCAAAGTTTACCTGAAAAATGGCAGGTTACTTTCCACTATATTATATACTATATATATTATATTATATTATATCATATTCAAACAACGTTGCAACCAATACATTAGGATATTGGCAGAAAACCAAAGAGATTATGTTATTGTGTTAAAACAAATCTAATTTTAACCACTCCAGTCAGGAAGTCTGCGGGATTTTAATTGTTTTTATTTATTTATTTATCATTGACGTCAAAACAGTTTAGAATTTATTGGCCAAGATTTAGGTATTTTTTGTGAGTGAGAACGAGAGAGAGAGAGAGAGAGAGAGAGAGAGAGAGAGAGAGAGAGAGAGAGAGAGAGAGATTATTATGAAGGGGAACGCAAAACTCGCTGGGGATTAAGTCATGTAATGTTACAGGGGAGGGATGGGGAGTGGATGAGGGGGGTTGATTGATGGTTGCTGCAATTGGACGTGTAATCCCTTCCCCCCCTCCCCCTCTCTATCTCTCTCTCCCTCTCTCTCTCTCATCTCTGTGTCACCGCCCAGTCTGGATTATTTCGGCACAGAGGGCAAAGCACACTGCACAAAGGCTGCTCTGCATGTCTTCATGTGTGGTGGAGGATGGAGTGATGATTGCAACATGATGCTAAACATGAAACTTGTTACAGGATGTGAAACGGCGCTGCAAAGGTCCAGACGTGTTAACTTGGTCGCGACAGGTGGGTGAATTTATTCACTGGTCTGTTTTCAAGTTGGTCAAGTTTTTTCAATCTTCCATTTGCTTTATATTAAAGTTAATTAGAAATAGAATATCAACGCATTTACTTTACCTTCAGCTAGTGGATTTAGACTGTGTCTCTCTTCATTCTAGGGAGCTACGCCTTTGTGGATGAATGTGGATGAATCAAATTGGGAACGTTTTTGCTTTTAATCGGTAAAATAACTGTGGAGGCTCCTAATCTGGGAATATGGACAACTTTAATATCACAAACGAAGGTGGACGTTCATTCCAGTTCTTGGTTCATAATCTAGAGCCTCTGTACAAGGAGTACAAGCCTCCCGCTAGGGACGTCATCCAGCTCCCCAAATCCATCCTCTACCTCCTCGTGGCCGCTCTGGTTGTAGTTGCTGTGGCTTACGCTATCGTTGGACACCTCATCAAAGACCTCATGCTGGACATTACAGGTACTTCAGTCTGTTAGAAACTGCCTCGTGCAAACATATTTGTATCCCCCCATTATTGAATACGTTTGATTAAGTTTCTTGTGCATAAATCTATGTTATAACTGTGTTATTTCTGTGAGAAATGGAAAAGGCTGAAATAGCAACAAATTCTTTTCCAAGTAATTTCTCTTGGTGATAAATATAATTGCTGAACTAGTGTTTGTAACATGACAATGCAAATGCATGTCTTCTATCCGTGAACACAGACTGTTTACTGGGCCCATACGAGGACGACCTGAAAAAAGATGGAGAGGTGGAGAAAGTCAGTCCGCTGCACATGCAGCCTGTGCTCAACCACTCCCATCCGAATGCCTTCCACGTTTGGGACCAAGACGACGTCATCATTTCCATACCTTTCGGAGGCGAGGGCACCCTGTCCAGCCCTCTATCCAGCCCTCTGATTGCTGTCATCCCAAAAATACCTTATTTTTTCCCCAACTCCCATAGCGTCAATAGCCCGTCCCACAATCAGCCGATCCCGAGGGAGAGTGATGCCTGAGGCAACTCACAGGATCCGAGACATTTGTCAAGCAATTTTCATCCCTTCTGGTCGCTGTCAGTTAATGTCTTTAGTTGAATGTCTTCAGCTCCTCGTTTTTGATCTCTGAAACCTATTCTACCCCAATTCGGGTGTCGGGAACATTGTATTGATTTCTGGAATGATATCATCAAAATCGGAATGTGTCACAAATCCAGCAACATCCAATGGCCTGTAGAGCCATTTCAGATGTCTGCCGTAGTAACCGATGCTTCTTATTGAGACTAAAGAAACAAAGAAACGGACAGCCTTCACTTTGGATTTGTGCCAAGTTAGAATGATTTATCAGCAGTCATGATCAGAATGTTATATTTGTCTTTACTTTGTTACACAAACTTCAGATGAGGTTGTGATCATGTGCAATATCAAATAATCCAAATTCATGCTCATGCTTACTGTTGTCTTTGGTTTCAGCGAATGACAGATTTGGCCAAAAATGACATCCAAACACCTCTGTTTCACTGATTCCTAGATGCATCTATTTTATTTAAACACATTTATTTTTTGAAAATCATTTTTACTCCTGATGAAAGATTGGGAGACGAGTGTGAGTTCTTCTGTCAAATAAAATGTGAATAATTGTTAGCTTCAATCTCACTCTGATACTGAATATATATCTGGCCCTTATGGGCGGATCGACCTACTAACTAATAGGGTAAAGTTAATTCAATTAGTGGAGGTGAGTGCGTTAACGTGACTGTGTGCTGCCCTGTAGGCTCAGACGGGTGAACAGAATGATCGTCCGCACAAATCTATTTTGGTAAAGTTAAAAAAAAACACACACCAAACCCAGTAATGCAAAATCAGTTTCTTCTCCTTATTTGTATTAAATGTTTACATGGTAAAAAGCGACTGTGACACAGGGTTCCTTACTAAGGCCTCATTATAGTTTTATATTATTGTATATATATATATATATATATATATATATATATATATATATATATTATAAGTTTTATATGACGTGCAGCTCTCTTTTGCTAGTTGGCATCCAAACACTCACACTGCTGCACAACTCCAAATGACCGATTATAAGCAGGATATTGACATGCAGAAACCCTGGGATACTAAAACCACCTGAAGGCTGTAGCATCTCTCTGTCACACGCACACACTTTAGCTCAGTATTAGCAGATTAATTTACTTCTCATTTTCACCTTGTTTGCACCCATAATTACAAAGAAGGTTATTGCACCTTTGCTCTGGGAAAACATTTTATTGTATAAAGTGACACTTTTTGGGCACCCTCATTGAGGCAACATTCTATTTCATCTGTAAAACTCAGAGGGCCCCACATTCAGTGAGGGCTGGAGATTAAGGGGTGAAGATTAAAAGACTCGCTAAGCCTTTAATACACCATCCTTTTATTACTTCTAGATAATCGGACAGCGGCACCCTAATCTGACAAATGTATCCACAATTTATTCTGCTTGTACGATGGCATTAATATGGATCCGCATTGAGTTACGCTGGGAGAGCAAACATTTTTATGTATCACGTTCCAGTTTATAATGTCCAACACGCAAGATTTTTGAAACAAATCATTGTGTTACAATTTGTCAGCGTGGTTTTCTCTCTGTTTGACCAGTCAGACCGGTGTGGCCAGATAGACGGCTTCTCTTGTTGCTGTCAGAGTCAGTGCTTTAAACAGTTTACTTGCTGCAAACCCCTTGTGTTACCCGTTGAGAAGTCCTGCAGGTGAGACCTGTTGTACATGCATATAGTCACTTTGAATACAGAAGGGGTCTAATCATCAGTTTTGTCGCTCTCTTTTTGCTCTGCAGGCAGTTTACATCATTCAGCGTTAAGAGATCCTTATCCGTCTCTCAGCCGCATGTGACAGTTTACCCCTAAGCTGATTTCTTACGGACATTGACTCAGTTCAAAGATCAAGCTCCCAGTTTGAGGATGCATGACACCAGATGACTGCGACTCCTTCCAAGTGGATCAGCAACACGATTAAGTAACCCTATAACATCCAGACTGGGGTTAGGACGGGATAAACACATGAGGGACGTGGGGGATGGGGGGGGGGCACTAAACATTGCATTCAATTTGACATATTACACAACATGCAGTTTTATTTGCATGTTACACAACATGAAAATAAAAGAGGTGAGAGCCCAAAATCCTCCTTATGTAAAGAAATTAGGGCAGTAAAAGCAAAACAATGTCAGCAGAAGGAGGTAGAAAAAAAACATCATAGGTTGTGCTTTACCCAGTTATTCGTTGGCTGGCAGAGTTTATCCTGGTCGAGGTCGGCGCCAATCTGTCATTCAGCCTAATCCTCTGGTGGAAGACCAGGTGGTCCCCTGACAAAGCAGTTAGCAAAGTCTTTGCATTTTCCAACAGTCAACTTATTTCTGTATTTTAACTCTGCGTGTGAGCACCATGAAAACAATGACCCGCGTTCTTCGCCAGCTCAGACACCACCATCTTAATTCTGCACAGCCAGGAATGTATCTCACTAAAGTGTAAGCACGGGCTATAATTATAATCCTCATTTTAAAATGTTTAAATCATACAAGCCTTTGTGCTCCAATCAACATCGAACTACAGAGTTTAAACAAGCAGAGTACATGGCAGTCACCTGACCAAGAACAAAGACGGCACTGTATGTTCAGACTACGGAGAAATAAAAAATACAGTACAGTCCTAGAATCTAGCACAAGCCCATAATCTATACAACTAAAGTGCATTAGAGACTTTTCCACCGCAAGCGATAACCAAGCAAACACGACACTTTTTAGGAACAGCATTTATTATTTTATCACAATAAAATCATATATTTTTTTTAAATAAATCTTTAAAATACAAATGACAAATATAATTGTTTAAAAACGATTAACAGTAGTGATTGACGTAGACTATACTGTATGCAAATAACATTTATCTATTGCTTCGATGAGCTTCGATGAGCCGGTCTACTCAAAGCTCCTTTGTGAGAGCGCCGTGCGGTAGAGAGAAGTGCCTGTAGCCTGGAAGAAGGTCAAGAACATCTTGTCCTTTGTGACTTCTGCATGGACAAAGCCTCCCAGCGTCGAAGCTTTCCCACTGAAGAACTTCACAGAACCTTTGGGAACGCGATTCCAGTGACGGATATCGGGATCCAGGAAGTTGCCAGCGCCGCTCACCACGTAGCCCACGCCGGACTCTTCGATGTACTGTAGCGAAGGGGGACAAAGACACGATTGGGACGGGAGGCAGACGGCGGGTCTTTGCCAAAAGGCCTTTACGCGTCGCACAAACCAACCTGCAGGTTGTGGTCATGGCCGCAGAGGTAAGCGGTGGCGTTGTATTTGACGAGCAGGGGCTTGACCCGCTGCAGCAGACACGCCGTGGGCCCGTGCTCGGACACCGACCACACGGGGTAATGGCCGGCCACCAACAGGAAGTCGGCCCTGGACTGAGCCAATCGCTCCTGCAGCCACGTCACCTGGCGGTTGGCGTCCATCATGCGCAGAGGGCCTCTGGGCGTCTCGTCCAGGAAGTCGTCAGAGTTACCGCACAGCAACACGGTGTCGAGCATGATGATGGTCAGAGTCTTCCCGGTGTTGGGGATGTGGAAGTTCAGCTCATAATAGTAGGAGGGGAAGTTCCTATTTAAAAACAAAAAAGAAGAACCCAGAGGTGTGATACTTAAGTTTATCCATGTACAGTTTGAGGCGTTGACGTTTTAAAGATGGTCCTTACCAGCGGTCAGATTTGTGGCTGTACTCAATCTGGGCTTTGACGTTGCCTGCATGGTCATGATTGCCAGCAAGCACATACCAGGGGATTTTGAGAGACTTTGCGGTGTACACCGACTCAAAAGTATCCTGATAGGAGGATTCAGGGGGACATTTTCTATTTTTTTACTGCCACAATGTTGCTTCATCACGACATTTCAAAAGAGACCTTCAGTTAACAACTGACCTGAAACCGAGGCGAATCGACACTGTCCACACCTCTGAAGTAGAAGTTATCGCCAAGGGCCAGAACAAAGTCAGCTCCCATCTGCTGTGCTACTTTGCTCATTTCTCGAGCAGTAGCCTTCTGCACAGCAGTGATGTAGGGGGGATAAGGCACCCCACCCCAGTCTCCTAAAGCCAGGAACTTTATGGAGGTTCGGTTGCCTGGAAGGAAAACATAAAATTGTGAAGAGCAGATAGTCTGAGGCGGCAAGACGTCATGTTTAATACATATTTCTGCCTCCAGGCCTTTTGAGTGTATAGAAACATTTTAAGACCCTCGATTAAAAAAAACAACAACTTGATTTTATATATTAAAAAAATGAAAGTCATTCCTTCTTTGGTTTGAATTAATTGCATTATAAAATAAATCATTTTCACTTCACCTTCCCACTTAAAATATTCATTCAAGTCAATGTACATCAAATATTTATAGTGAGAAACTGTGCATAGACATAATTCCACCATTAACAGGAAGTTTTTTTCAAACCAGTGTTTGAAATGAGAATGCAGACACATAAAAGTGTAAACTTCTCCCACCATGAGAAACTCAGGGGCTTGTTCACGTGATCGGGGTGATGGGTTTCAGAGTGTCTTCAATTTAGTGGGCTTCATAGCATTATATTTGATTACTCGTGCACTGTCGTCTTGTCGTGTATTGTCGTATTGTCTGCGGTTATGCACCAACCGTCAAGTCAAATTCCTTGCATGTCTGACATATTATGGCAATAAATGCTCCCTGATTCATATAGCTGCCCACTTACACACGGAGGTCTCATTCCCCATAGTTCTCTAAAAGCATAGGGACAGAAATCTCGTTCTACTTTCCAGCTTTTAACTTTTTTTTACATTTTTAGCTTTAGCTGTTTTGTTCAGCCGTTGTTGAGGTGGTCACGTTGTGAGACTTGCTACCTGTCACAGGTCTGTCCATCTTTGTATATTGCTTGATTCCTAACGCTATGTCTTATCTTTGCTCCGCTCGGGGGGAGAAGGGGGCGAAGTTCAAACACAGCGCATGTTGAGTCCTCATGTCGGTTTTGCTTTCGTTCTTTTTCCACACTTTTAAACAGTCGTTGCTGTGTGTTAAGGTTGGTGATGAATGATGAAGCCTCGACCCCCCGTTGCCCCAGCCCAGGAAATCACTGGTTTAATAGGTCATAAAAGCCCATATAAAGCAATACTCACTGCCAGTTTCTACCAGGTCTTCAAAGGCAGGAGAATAGCAGTAGGCCACAGGAATGACAGCAATTAAGATGTATACCAGTGTGAGCCGCATCTTAAAAAAAAGACAAAACAGCAAAAGCTAAGAAGTCACAATACAAAGAAATTGTCAAAACAAGAACTGAAGCCAGCGGCAGCGTGCCGTGTGAACATACACTTCCTGTCTCCTCCCTGTTGCATAACAACAAGTTTCACTTGCTTTCATGTTGAAAGGTCAGTTGTGATTGGCTGCAGCTTAAAGCAGACATGTCACAGCTGCAGCTAATAGAAGCTAATCAAAGCAGCCACGTCTGTGAGGCTGAGGGGGGTCAGAGGTCACAATTCCATGTCAAAGCGTGTAATTTCATCTCTGCCTCTTTTGAATAAGAAACCGACACAGAGACAGAGACATCGCCCAGATCAAGAACTGCCTCGGTCCTGTTGCATCAAGACAGAGAAAGAGACAAAGTAAAAACCACTTACAGCTGATAACTGGTGGGGTGAGCTCAGGATGACCTGACGGGAACCTCTTCGTCCTCGCAGCGCTTCTCCCGCCTGCCTTTTATCAGGATTCCTGGAGGGGAAGCTGCAGGAGGGTCAGGGGCATGATCATTGCTCACCCCTTGACTCAGTCTCGAGACTGCAGGGTCATCCGGGCCGCATGTGATCCACAGCGGTTATTATAGCTGGTGTCCAGACTCCGCTTCTTCTTCTTCCACTTCCACGTTAATCACTCTTTTCCTTCTTCCTTTTGTTCAGCATTTTGGACCGTTTGATAATATGGGAACCAGAGCGGTGGCTTCTTGAGTTTATCTCAGCGGTTAAATGTTGACGGCTCGGGCAACGGGTCGGACTCACGAGGAGCAGTCCTTCCACTTTGTCTTATCAAAGGGTTCCACCCTCCCTTATCTTCTCACTTTAACAGAAAACACTGTTACTGACTGCCCTCTTCCCGCCTTTGAGACCATCATTATCTCATTTAGAACTGTGTATTTATTTATTTATTTATTTATTGTGTGCTCTCCTGAATCAAGCTGTCACCGACTCATTTTTACATGATAAAAAAAAATAAGCGTGCCAGATGCAGATAACAGCTGCGTTCACAACTTGTTGTACTGGTAACACATGCAGATGTCAAAAAAGTGTACTTGTCAGGAGTACTACCTTGTACAAGCACCTAGTCTTCTGTAGCACTGGAGGGAGCTTTTACCAGTTTGAGATTCAGTGTCAAAGGCACTTTAGACAGGAAGCTCTAATAGCTGACTCGGGGCAGTGGCCACACTTAATTAAATTGTGCTTCTTTTTTTTTTTTTTCAAATCGGTTTCACAATATCGGTGGAAGAGTCATTTCAAATGTGTGCAGTATCCCACACAAGACATTCCAGCAATTCATACTATTCATTCATATGTATAAAGTATATATTCCACATTTTGAAACACATAACCTAGAGTATAATAATGACTGCTGAACACACTAGCAGTATGCACGTTTTACATATATTTACGTATCGGTTTTTCTGCTTGTGCCTAAATGTTCTCCCTGAGGAAACAACCAATGTTTGCATTCCATAACCAGATTTCCTCACAGGGATCAATGAGGCTTTAACTTATCTTTTCTGCTCCACACATCTGGAACAAACGGCCAGACAACAACTGCAGGTCTGCTGAGACTTAGCGGCTTCAAATGAAGATTGAAGGTCCTTTTCTTTTTCCTTATGTTTTAATGCTTTTATGTGAAGCACTTTCAAATGACTTGTTGTTGAAACGTGCTACACAAATAAACTTTACCTGCCACATCGTGATACTACGTGCACACTAGAGCGGCTGATACTGTGGAGCGTCTGCAGGCAATGCACAAGCCATTCATGGGTTTAACAAAACATTACCAGTAACGCAGATGTGAGGAATATCTTTGGAATTTATGGAGGAAAGTTTTAGTTTTTTAGTGTTTTTTTTTTACACCTTTGAAGACATGATTGATACGACTGTGACATTCATAATCACATAAAAATTTTGTAATCAAATGTAAATTTGATAGCAGACACATGCAAAGAAACTTTGCTCCAAAAAAATATTTATTTTACAAGTGAAATTTGAGCATTTTATAGGACACAGCTACAAGCAGAAATAAAAAAAACAGAACCTACTGATACAGAACGAGTACACAACAACCCTAGAAACCGACATAAGGATTGATTTTTACACTCCTGTCAACATAGACATGAGGGATACTGAGGAAGAAAACAAATACCTTTTATTCAAAAGATTAGCCTGCATCTTTGACCTAAAACTTTGTTCACCAGAAAGGAGCTGAAAACACCAAACTGGCATAATGCGATAAAAAGGTCTGGACACGATGGGATGATTAGTAATTCATGCCTCCGTATCCAGAAAACGAGCCCCGGTTTTCTCCTCCGAAACCCTGGTGAATGCCGTATCCCTGCTCATTGCCAGAGGACTGGTTTCCCCAGCCTGTGGAGTGACATCAAACCAGAAGGCGTTATTTTATCTATCTGTTGAAACACCACATCAACGCCGCGATGGATCAGCTGTACATATGCAAGTAGATTTCTTCACTCACCGTAGTTGTTGTACGCTTGACCCCCCGTCACAGAGCTGGGGTAAGCTGTACTGTACATAGAGTAGCCTCCTGCCAGGGCCTCATTCTGACCTTGGGTCAGCATCTTCTTCTTCTCATCTCCATACCCGTAGCTGTAGGGGCTCTCCTGGTCAGCAGGAGGAGGCATCGACTGGTAGCTCTCCGCCTGCGGGGCGCTGGGGTCGGAGCTGGAGACGGGTTGGGAGGCGAAGTTGTCGCTGCCCTCGGGGTAAAAGGTGCCGTAGCCAATGCTGCTGCCTGACCCAGTGCATTCGGCTGTGGTGCTTGCTGCATTGTTAACATAGAGCTGATCTAAAAACAGATGAAACAAGAGCAACATCAATGCTGTGTTTGATACGATTTATTTAACGGCAAATACAGAGAAGTACGTGTAGGTGTATTCAGGTGAGGAGTGACTTACGATAACCTGCGCCGGTGTTGCCCTCATAACTGTAGTTAGCTTTTAAAATAAAATGGGGAGAAAAGAATATCTAGTCAATTATTTACAAGTACACAAAGTGTACTTTAAGGAGCTTATTGTTAAAATGACACCTGGAGAAGTATTTACCCTTGTTGTAGCTCGGTCCAGGTAGAAACGGTTTGCCCCGGCCCCGGCCACGGCCCCTGTTGAGACCCCAGCCGCGAGTGCCGCAGTCTGAAGGAATGCCACGGATCGTGCCAAACCCGGGGATGTGCTGTTAGACAGGAAACGGAACACAATATGTTGTTAAGAGCGAACGCTTTTAGCCGAGATGTGCACGCAGAGGCCAATGTGTTAGATATGCCGTCGGACATTCAGATGAAAAGGAAGAGTTCCATAAGTGAGGATGTATTCTTAGTCAACAATTATACATTAATACCGGGAAGCCACAATCATATAAAGAGCCACAATCACCCGTAATGGTCCAAATACAGGCCGTTCACACTGCTATCAATTGGATGAATTACCATGTCGGTGTAAGTGACCTTCTTCTTTGCTGTATTCCTGTTGCTGTCGTCGTCTGGGAACAGCTTCTCCAGAGCAGTGAGGGCAGCGTAGGCCTTCGCTTCCTTCTTATTGGAACCTCTCCCTTTGAACTTCTGCCCATCGACCTCCACCTGGACAGGAGAACAGTAAGGCATTTTGTTTATTTGCAAGCATCGCTTCCTGTGAGAGAGTCTAGGCTCAGCCAAGTCAGACAACTGGGAAAGTCCATCGGGGATAAAAGTGTTTTATATCCCACAAAGAGAACAGAAATGATTTGATTATCTTTATAGCATCGTTTTTTGCAGACGATACCGCTGACTCACCTCCATGACAAAACACTTTTCATGAGAGCCGCCCGTCTCGGCAGACAGTTCGTACTTCAGGCTGCGGCGCTTCTCATTCAGCTCCATCACAGGGTTCTTCCCCTTTTTGGTCAAGATAGGACCCTGACCGCTCTATTCGAAGCAAATGGGCAAACAATGGCTGTTACACACACGACTCCAAACCCTTTTTTTAACTCTCTGATGAAAGCAAAGGATCGAGACGGAGCTAAAGTGTGGGAGTTCTTATAAAGAGAGCCGTACTTCTTCCGATGTAGAAGAGGCCGCGCTGCCAGGTTTTACTAAGTCTTGGGTTCCCTCAACATCACCAGAAGACTCTGCCTTAGATTCTGAGCCTGTTGGAAGACCGAGGTCCTGCAGAACCTGAGAAATACAAAAGGTCACAACATCAACGTGGGATGAAATGGTCATACGACAGGTAGGTTTTTTCAGCAACCAACCAAGTCGAGCTTGGGTTTGTAATTGAGCAGAGAAGACAGGAAGCGATTAACACAATGCTAATTCACAACCCCGGATGCCATGCTGACCCGGAAACTAGCTTTAGCACTAAAGTAACTCATGTCAACAGGAGAGAACACAAAGCTCTTGCCTTGGTGGCTACATTAAGTTTGGCAGCTCGTTTGGAGGGCCCCGTCGCCTCGTAGGGCTTCCCGTTCAAGTCCACGGCCATCGTGAAGACCGGCTCGTGGACCGGACCAGTCTGAGATATGAGTCGGTACTCCAGGCCGGGTTTGTACTGGTTTAGACGCATCACGGCATTCATGCTGAAATCATCTGTGACTACAGAGAAAAAAAAAGAAAAGGGACAGGTAGAGAAAAGGCAGAAATAAGAGCGATACAATTGCAATGTGGGGATTAAATAATTCCATATTTCTTAAGCCCATCGAAAGAACATAAACAAGTTTCTATTAGCAGGGTTAAAACATTCCTGATCAGGTGAACTGAAAGCAACACATATAGTTAAGGGTTTTTCATAAGGATTTACAGGTTAGTGATTAATCTACAACACATACTGTGTACTTATGTGCTATTATATCCTTTAATACTCATCAAAGTCTACAACAATTTAACAAAAGTAACGCTGATCCTTGGACAATAGCTTCTGAGCAATTTACTTCAGAAATATACAAACATTAAAACCTGCTGCAACTATAATCATTTCAATAATTATGTACATTGCGTTGCCAATTTATTAAGTAGATAGACATTATATTTCATTAGGGGTGACCTTCAGTAGTCAATCATTTGATCTAAGGAGCCTTATTTGAATGCCAGTCTCACAGTTGAATTGTCGCAGTGGCGGGAAAATGTAATTAAAAAAAAATTTAAAAAAGATTTCATTCTCACTGTATGAGGGTGCTGAATATCTGAATTGCATCATGATATTGCCTATTTTGCATAAATATAAGCCTATTAATATTGCGTAGTTATTGCAGATTAGAAAATAACTCACGTGCTTTCAATCAATCTCCTTAGTGTGCAGGAATAAATCACCATAAGTTGTACTATCGGGAGCGTCGCAGCAGCCTCCTGGGACAGCCTCAGAAAGGCAAAATGACAACATAAGGCGACTATCAAAAGCAAAGAATAGAAACAGACTGCCTTCTGTCTGTGAGTAGCTTCAAAAGGGCCAAATCTGTCTATCGATATCCTCAATTCAGTACTGCGCACAGCGTCACACCAACACACACATACACTATGAGTATCGTATAACAAACCAGCAAAAAAACAAAAACATAATTCAACGATAATTAAATCGGATTGGTCAAAACTCTAAACTAAATTCTTAGCTCTGGACACCCCTAGATTTCATTAGATTTAGCAAAGTGTTCATAATAAACTGGCATCTCAATGCATGTGGACGTACAATGCATCCGGAAAATATTAACAGCGCTTCACCTTTTCCACATTTTGTTATGTTACAGTCTTATTTCAAAATTGATTCATTTTTCCCTCAAAATTCTACACACAAGTACATAAGTATTCACAGCCGTTGCTCAATACAATTCTTTATTTTTAATAAATTTGCGAAACCTTTTCACTTTGTCTTTATGAGGTATTGTGTGTAGAATTTTGAGGGAAAAAATGAATTTAATCAATTTTGAAATAAGGCTGTAATAACAAAATATGGAAAAGGTCAAGCGTTCTGGATGCACTGTATATAATGTATTTGTACAAAACGTTGGAATAAATATTCAATTTGATTGAAATTACATCCAGTGTCCTTTAAATAGGCAAGCTGACAATGTACAGTTGTTTTTTGTAACAGCTGTACAACGTCATAAACCCACGGCTCATTTCACAGTTAAAAAGGCCCACAGCCGACAGCAGAGTGATATTCACTACTAACATGATTTCCTCTGAAAGCGCTTCTGGAATTTGAGAAACTTCCTCTGTTTGCTGTTGAGTTGGGGCCCCTCCCCTTCCTTCTCCATCTCTGTGTGAGGTCTCTTGGATGGCAGGTTGAAGTGTCCAGCAGGTGGGATTTGTGCTGCATAAAACAGCAGAAACAAGCAGAAGAACAGAATGTTTCGGGGAAGTTTTTTGTGAACAGCACAGAAGGTGTAGGTCAGATTGTCAGGTACCTGTGCCCTCTCTGCCGCCAGGTCCTGCTGATATCCGTGGCTTTATGGGTTTATAGTCCATCCCCAACACCTTGTGCATTTGTCCGAATGCACACAACCTCAAAGCAAACTGAAGAAAATGCAAATGTTAGAGACTATTCGCAGAAATACGAGTGTGATCTGGTGGATGTCCAGGCATCCTCCCGTTACCTGGGCACTCTGTGTGATGTCTTCCCGCTGCTGCAGAGACAGACATGCGGTGGCGTCGACCGTTTCCTTCTCACACGGGTCTTTTATTCCAGGGCCGTCTTCGCACAGACACAGTGACCACGACGGATTAATGTTGCTGCCATTGTACAAACATCCTGGTTTCACAACTCAATAAAACAGTCTACCTTCCATGAGGATTCCCGATGCAACGCACTCCAAAACCCTTCGTAACGACTCGCCTGGTCCCATTGGTCTCTCCGACGTACCGATGGCCTTCTCTACCAGCAGTTCAAGAGGCTGCGTGGAGATGAGATGCACAGTTTAGACACCAATTATCAAGTTCCACGGTTTTGATCAAAGAGCTGATGAAGAGCTTCCAAAAAAAATGTTTTTTTTTGTTAGCCTAGATGCAGTTGTGTAGAAACCAAACAGGTGCCACCTCACCCATCCGGAGAGTGGCGTCCAGGTAGGAACACGGTTACACAAGTCTCTCATGATCCGGATCACGAGGACGGCAGAACTTAGATTGTTGACTTTGGCCTGGAGACACAAACGACAGCTAGTTGAGTCGGAGGAGGTGCCGCCTCTGATGCCACGTCAAACGTGTGCTCTGAGGCTTCACAAAACGACCCGAAAACAGAGCACAGGCGGTCAGAACAATTGAGCCGTCCCCAAATCAACAACTGTTAAGACAAACACACGTTATCACAACGCTTTGTCCACATTCTGTTTGTTGTGGACAAACAGTTAAAACTGAGAGAGTTCCGTAAAGATAGATAAAAGTAAATGATCGGCGGGTGTTTATAGAAAGTGTTATTGGTACGGATCAGCAGATCAGTCTTAAGCATATAAGCAAAACTCTGAAACTTCCGACACGCTTTCACCTTTCATAAGTTTTAAGAGTACATGAACAACAACTGAGGGCACATTTTAGATCTGTCACGGTCTCTAAATTGAAAATAAATAGAGACCATTCAAAGAAATAGCTCAACCTTATGCACAAATAAGGACGTGAATGCAAACCTGGAACCACTTGGCGTGGCGGAGAGACGCCAAGGCAGTGAGGCATTTCTGCCTGTCCAGAACGTCCGGCGGATCGTCAACTGTTCGCGTCGCTATTGGCGAAATGGGGTAAGAAGAAAAGGTACAGTTTGACCAAGGGGGTCGGCTCTGTCTCGCAGCTCAGGGAGTAGCAGTTTCCCCCAAACCGGAAACCAGCGGGGGAAGGGAGTTCTAAGTACGTAATGCGTACATCTTGGGTGCCAAACAACGACACTAGTCACCGGTCACAGATGCCAGCTAACTTTTGCAGTGTGTGAAAGTAAAAAAATGTCACAAAGACACATCAGCATTTACAACATTCCACTGCATGTTGTAAATGTAGGCAATAGATAGACTGCAGTAACACCCCCTTCCCCCAGCCCCTCAGCCTGGGTTTGCTGCTTTCCCCCCTTCCTGAGACAGGGTGTCCAGTTGGTCAAAGGTCCAGCGTTCCTAAAAACTTGACAAACTAAAAAGGTAATAAATTGTAAATCACAAGCATTTAGATAATCTTCACGTGTGCCCCACACTGCAGCAAAACTGATGGAGCCCCTCATTCCAAAGTGGCATAAACTGGCCTTCATAATAATGGCCTCTTTTCTTTTCACTATGAATACAGTTGAACGGATCTATCAGGATCAGATGATGTTCATTCTGTAAAATGTATAGATCAGACTAAGGAAGGTTTAAGGTTATTAGGGTACTATCTAGAGCCTGTATTCTTCTTAACGTTCAACATAACAGTAACTATAATTAGATTACATAACACTCATAACATTGTTGCTTTATTATCGGGTATCCCTGAAACAGGGTCTGACCCAATACTTGTAGAGTTAATTAAGTGTGTGTCTCATACATTATAATAACATACTGTATGTAGCCTACTTAATCTGACACGCGTTATTCATGTTTTCAAAAATAGCTGAAATTGTTGATATATGAATGCAAGATGAACTGGGAACATTTGACTCTTGGCTTGATGGGATCAGCTGGAATGAAGATTGCCAGCTCAATGGTCCCTGGTCTTCACTAATTAACTAGTACTTATTGAATCATTGCATTCTACATTGTCGGTACTGCACCTGATCTAGTCTGAAGGGTTTTGGCAGCAAAATGTACGTTTACAGTTATTACTTGAGTTATTTAATTGAAGTGCACTAAATAGACTAAAACTGCACTGAGACAGGTATGGATCGGTTTGTGGGGCTACAGGACTCACTTATAACCTTTAAATTAATGTATTTTGGCTTTAGATTCCCTAGCAAAAACATATCATGCAAAAACACTTCACTGATCAACTCCGTCATCTATAAATAAAAGGGATTAAATTGTTGCTACTTTTTTCCTGTCCAGTTAAACTTTTCAAGGGAAGCCACACACGTCTTTATAGTCAGTTTCCTATTACATTTACATCAGTTTTGCTGCAGCTGGGGCCAAATGGATATGTTCAGCATCAAGTGCATGCAATGCGCGCTTCAACTTGTTATTCTTGAAAAGCCTTCACTTTAAAACATGAAAACCACTCAACCAGAATGAACAGCGTTTGTTTGGATTTTGGTTTTCACTTTTGTATTGTTCTGGAAAAAGCCAGTTTGTCCGAAAACGATGACAGGACTCTTGGGTCAGTGAAAAGCCAACGTTCATTGCTTGATCACTGGTATCGGTTTAAGGCAGCCACTGTACAAGCTCCACTGATGTTTAATGAGATGAAGATGTACGACATTTGTTGGGTTCGAGCTGTCAGTGCATAGTGACAGATCAATGGAGCTGTACAGTGTCAGCATACTGAGAACACACATCAGGCTGTGGTAGCTGATGTTGGAGACCCAACCAACATACGTACCTTCTTCTTCCTCGTCCTTTTCTGGAGCTTGTCTCTCTTGCTTTGTCCTGACCAGAGGTGACGTCAGGTGGATAGTGAGAGTCAGGGCCGACTCCTTAGTGCTCGTCACAACAAGTGCTGCGTCCTCTGGACACTTGCTTACTTTATACGTCGCAGCCGAACTTGCCTATTGAAAAAGGAACAAATCATAAGAAAATCGGAGCGGGGTTTCTAAATATATAAATGTTTTTTTTATGGAGAACCACGTAAAACAAATGAGGGTAGACTACGCAGTCCTACCTCTAACTGTGCATATAATTGTTCAGCCACTTGATTGAGCAGGGTGGTGGTAGGCTTGCTGGAACAAAGCAGGACAAGCTCCAAGTCCTTGTCTCCGGTCAGCAGGAGTCCCTTGGCCACCAGGCCGACCCTCATAACCCCACGTAGGACCCGGTCTTGTGACTCACCACTTTTAACAGATGAAGGGGTAAAGAATAGGAAATAATAATTTATTTATATAAAGAGTGAAAACTGTTGGGCTTATTTTGAACACCTTTTGATGACATTTTTAAATCAAAGGAACAACATTTGGACATTTCACTCACCTCCCTAACTCTGTATTTGGTTTGTTATCTTTTGGGATATCAATCTGGTCCGACACAGTCTTAAGGGCACACTCCACTCGGGAAACAATTGACTGCACCGCCTCCAGCTCCTCTGGTGAAGGGTACACTTCAGAGTGTTTAGCCATCACATGACGATCATGCGGCCCTGCGCACACCTGTGGGACTGCAGCTTCCTAAATTGGTAAATCAGAAAAAGATAAACACTGTAGATGAGGAAATATAGCTTGTGTTTATAGAGAAATCAAAAGAAGATATTACAGAAATAACTTCAAAAGCAGTTCTGGCTTTCTTCAATTAGTGTTTTGCTACTTGGATTGATTCAAATCTCATACGATAAGTATAACAATAATTGGGAAGTAAAATATGAATAGTGACACCGGATCTTATTTTTGTAAAAGCATATAGCAGCATATAGCTCTTTCATGCCAAAGGAAGAACCATCCTCTGCAAGAAAAAATGAGATGTTCAGATTTGTTGAGGAGGATTGGACAAGCAGAATCAGCGTCAAATTGAAAAGTGTATAAATGATCGGTCTGTGGGTAAACACTTAAACAGGTGAAACAAAAACCTCAAGGTGCCGATGGTCCTCAATTTCGCCAATAACGGAGATGTAATCATGGTACTGTCGCAGCTCCTCCTCATAACACAAGCAGTCATACCAGTATCGTAGGTCCTCATATCTGGAGAGAGGAAAAAACAAAATGAGGACGGATCATTCGACTGCTTTAGTTTTTCCATCTTTTTTCTGTATTATCATTAACTGTAAATCATATTTAACGTTTACTTATGTATTTAAGCAATAAGGTACGAGAGGCTGTACTCCGGTCAATGTAAACAGGTACAGTACACACCACGTGACTCACTTAACCAATCAGAACGCCGGATTTCGTCTACCCGTATTATAATTAAATATAGTACATAGTACACATAGTTTGCATATGATTAATTTGACAAAACAAATGATTGCCTCACTCCCACGTTAGCTGTTTGATGGATTATAAGACCACAGCCAAAGCTACCTGTCGAAGTCGTGCGGGAGGAGGCGGTGGCCCTGTTGAATGAGGCTGTCCCAGTACAGCAGCTCCTCGTACGCCTGGTGCTCATCCCACTGCGATGCAGCGGCCGCCATGCTGTCACGACTTTCGGATCGAGGCTGTCACCTTTTCAGAGGCAAACGAGTACGTTAGTCTGCGCGCGACTGGTAGATAACTGGTTCCGTGTGGTCAAATGAAATGTAATAAATGACATTAGTGTATGACGGTCTGATGACAGCTAACGTCACGCAATCCGTTTCGGATACGAACGAGATGAGGACCGTGTGCATCAGTGTCGGTAGTTTAGCACGCCTCTAATTAACACGGAGCGTATCGCACAGCGCAGCATTACCTTCTCGTCCTCCGTCGTCTGTAGAACGCTATATTTAACGTTAGATCCAATTAAAGTGAAGGAGCTGCGGCGGGCAGCGGCCGTTAGTTAGCAGAGGCTAATGTTTGTAGCACTGACTGCCCACTTGGTGCTAGCCAGCTAACGTTAGCAGACGTTGGACGTCACGCCAGCGCCATTGTTGTTCATTTGTCATCAGGGGCGTTGTTGTCATTCACCTCTGACTTCTGTCTAAGTTCCGCTTGAGTAGTCAAGGCTTACCGTGGACAGCTAGCGGCCAAGACCGTTTCGCTGTAACGTAACGTTAGCCACGGACCATCAAAGGGTCACTAGGCCTAAGGATGACGTCTGTTTCTTCTTCTTTGGTTTTATTGGCCGTGCGCTATAAACTGACTTTGGGGTGCACGCCGCCGCCCATCGGGCCGGGGTGTCGGAGGCGTCTTTGACGAACAACTTCTATTTGCACATGTACTGTAAAATAATATTACATGTGAATGATTCTACTTGGTAATCATATGTAATTAATACAGGTACGATTGCCTCAATAGTTCATCTATTCAGGTCTATAGAACAACAAAGTGAATTAGATATAATAATCCCACAAAATTACTGCAAATGCTCCCTCAAGTAATTGACATGATTGATGTTCTAGCTCTCCTACATTATCATAGTGAATTGTAAACCTTGAGGTTCCTTAAGGCTGGCAATGTAATTGAGAATCAACAATAAATGAAATACAATGTATAATTGAACCCCTGTATAATTGCTGCATACCACTATTGATATATTTTAAATATATATATTTATATATATTTTATTTATACGTATATGTTTGTCCGTTTTGGGAAAATTGTAGTACTCTGCCACCCAGTGGTGTTTTTGTTGTAAATGTTAAATGCTTTCTTTTTTATATAACCCTGTTTTACTATTGCTTTAGCTCAATTTCAAAAAACATTGTGCTCTGCCAAATCAGTGTGATTCTACTTTAAACATAAAATTCTGCCATTGCATTGTAAGTGCAATATTTTAATTTGCATTTAGTCCTTAGCTGGTTTGCATTAATATAGATCATGCTCATCATCTGCACAGAAACATTACAGATTACATAGAGACTGAAAGAGAGAGATGTATTACATACAACGCCACTTTAATTACAGTTTGGAATTTTACTTCCAGTTATACTTTGATATTTAATTGTATCTTTAATGCCTTTTAACATTTTAGAATGCTCCTTGAAAAAACTGATGTCAAAAACTAAGCAGATATCCAGTAGGGGACTCTCCAAGTTTATGACACACCAGACAAAACAGTGTTAAATGAGCTCTTCAAGGTGAGTCAGATATCACTACCTGTTTCCAGGTCAGGAATGTGGAAAGAGACGATGCAGAGGAGCAAACAGATAAAAGAAAGTTGGTAATATTTCATTGAAGCCCTGCGCCTCCTCCAAAGTCATAGTTTATAGAAACAGCAACAGAGTTAAACCTGAATCAAAACTATTTCTTCAACAACCTTATTGATTAATTATGTTATTATCAAGACCTTTGGGAATGATTGATTCATCATCATTTTCATTCAAAGTGAAGCTTACCCTGCTGCAGATCACATTGTCAGCAGATGTAAATAATCGACAACCCGAGTAAAGATGTGTTTCATTAGTTCTCAACAGCAGATAGAAAGTACTGCAATGCAAAATGATCTTTTTCCATTATACTGAAACGGATCAAATCAATAACACTTGTGTTTTTAGGAGTTATATTCAAACCTGCAGCACTGCTCAGCTACCAGGAAGAGTCTATAACTTCACCATTGTATGTTGTGCAATATATTCATTAACCCAACAATTAGAGTATTTTGAAGGAAAATTGAGGAAAAGACAATTAGTCAAAAAGAAATGCAAAAATCCAGAGTAAGTTCACATTGAAATGTTTTAATTATATTTACATATCCTTTGTAAGTTGAGGGTATTACATTCAAGTATTAACTTATACAATCTTACATCATTTAACATACAAATTACGGTATAAACATATGAAAAGCATATTCAAACTACACAAACACCACAATATTTCAACATTGACATTCCTCCATAAAACACATTGAGCAGAATAATGAACATTATGATTACAATCTAAATACTGCCTCTGGTGGTTACAATGATTGAGCATCGTTCTTCCTCGTGTATCTGCTACAGAGCAAATGCTGTTGATCTTTTACTTCCAAAGCTGGTGAAAATCAAGTTAGGAAATAAAACCAAATAATCCTCAGTCCTTCTGTAAGTACCACTCCTGCAAACGTTGGAGTCCCTCAGGGCCGTGTGGAGTCAAATTGTACCATATACACCTGTGCACCTACCAAGAGTTTCAAATGGGGGTAACGTTAAAGAATATTCTGTAATATTACTTGCAGTAAGTGACCTACTGCAAGTAAACAACTACAGTTTATGTGCAAAATCACAGCATTAGCTTGCTTTCATTTGAAAGGTTTGACTACAAAGTCACTGGTAAATGTTTATAAAACAGAAGCATGAACGAGATATTTTTTATTTAAATTCATGAAACCTTTCCAAAGTGGACCAGCAGAGGAAAGTCAACCTGCTAATCCACTTGACTCCACCATTGTATCAACAGTTCATTTCCTGTATCTACAGGTGCCTCCTTCTAAACGTCTTGGTCAGGTGAGTCCTTTAAATGTTCAATGACCTGTTTACAAAGTAAATCCTCAACTCTTTTTCTCAATTTCAAACCTGGTTGACGTTCTTCTCTGAGCTACGAAAAGAGGAGGGCTCCCATCGGCCCAACACATTAGCCCTGAGTCCTGCCTGGCACTTTGCAATGAGGTAGATTTTGCGGAGGACCGTGCGGCGCAGCAGGATGTAGACCCAGGGGTCGAGGATCTGGTTCCACGTGGCCAGCCTCACGCTCATCACCATCAGAGTTTTGTAGCTGGAAAAGTCTTCTCCAATAGAGCCTGTGTAGGAGTGGATCACAGACATCAGGGCCAAGATCTGCAAGAAACACGTGCTTGCAATTATTAAACCTCATAAGAGCAAACACACTGCATGAACCAATATAGTTTTTACATTATCCCATTAAATATTATTGTTTTATTCTCCCAACAAGCAACCATCTGAACTGATAACAGGTGGGGCGCAGCTCTAAAGCTGGTCCTTACTACTGCTAATACTAGAGCCTAATGTGGTTTTGATATCAATACATTACATGGCAGAATCACCCATTTTTATATCAATACTCATATTATTAACAGCTCTTATGTAGCGTAATTTGATTACTTCAATCACATGCAAAACTGTTTACAATGTAAATAGTAGTTAATTTAAGTGTGAATCATCTGATCTATTGAATGGATCGCTGCACACACACACACACACACACACACACACACACACACACACACACACACACACACACACACACACACACACACACACACACACACACACAGCTGCAGGGAGCCGGAAAGGGCGTCAAGAGCCCTTGAACGTAATCTAATGTGAGACGGATCAAGTATTTTGGAATTGACTATTGATCCCATTAAGATGATACTCAGAAGAAAACTATCTTCTAGTAACTGAAAGAGGCTTCAGCAGAATCTGCCATCAGTGTTTGTTACTCCCTCCATAGACATCGTATTTTGCATGTTTTATTTCTATGAGACCTTCTCTTCCTTACTATTGGGGCTATGCATATTTTTCAACCTTTATTAGTGTTTTCCTGTTTTAATAACCATTGATTAGAGTTTATACTTTTTTAAGTCTATTCAAATCCAAATCTTACAATTATTAACCAAGAGGAGAGAGACAATATAATAATATATACACTTTTAACTCAATATAACTCAATCAATATACATTACCATTCAAATGATTCTACACACTTTCTCATTCAATTTAATTAAATGATTTAGATTTGCTAATGATTACTTCATTAAATTAAAAAAATAAAAGAGTATCAGGACATTTGACTGGTCATATAATATATCATAATATCTCTATGGTCCATACCAGTGTGCTAATGCAGAGGATATTTTACATTCTAGATCCAGCTAACCACTGTCATATGTTGTTGTGGTTTTAAATTACAACACTATTTTAAATCTGTTGCTAATCTTTCAGTGACATGAAGTGACATAATGCTGCTGATTATCCTCTGCAAAAATAGAGGCACTAAAATGACTTAAAGTCCCTCCACATACACACAACTGTTTTCAGTTTTCTGTTTGATTGGTGGTGAAAAAATACACTTACAAAGTGTATGCTGTTGCATGCAGTGTGCATTTAACTAGGAGACACTACTTCATAAAAGCAAAGCACCTTGAACCATCACCATCTTTCTCATATACCTGCTGTGCAAAGGATTGTTTGTCAGGAAAAACATAAAACCAGCCTGACTTGCACACTGCACAATGAAATTGAATGCAGAAGAACATCCTTGTTTTTTGGCATACTGCATTTGACATACTAATTATTGGGACAAACTAAAATATGTTCCAGCCACACAGCCATACAATAGTATGGAGGTTTAGCTATTGGAACACACGGGTGATGTCCTTTGGATCTGACCGCATGCCATGCTCTTGTTGTACCTTGTCCTACTCACCAGCAGAGGGCTCCAACAGATGCACGAGGTGACCATGATGCCGACCAGTTGCACAACCATCTCTATGTCATGGGACTTGGCTGAATGATGGGAGCCGGGCTTCCTCCTGAGCCGAGCGAGCACCAGGGTCAGTCCACTGATGGTGTTGCACACCAGCGCCACGGCCAGCGAGGTCAGACCGAGTCCGGAGAACAGCACCACAAACACCAAATCCACCTCCTGAGTGTCACTGAGCACTTTGATGAAACACCAGGTACCTGGTTCCTGATAGGTGTAAGAGCCGAGCCGTAAGCACGGCAACATGGCCACGCACAGAGGTACCAGCCAGATGACAGACAGGCAGATCTTTGTTCGGGTTTTGGTTACCAGGGATGAGTGCAGCAGCGGCTTAGTGACACCCAGGCAACGCTCAGCCGCCATGGCGCAGCCCATAAAGAGTGGGCACAGGCCAAAGAAGACCATGCTGCCACCCAGGAACTGACACATCCTATCAGAGTCGTTGAAGTCCTCGGGGTGCGCACCTCCAGAGAGGTAGAGTCGGAGAACAAGGGCACCCGGGATCACGTGGCCGACGAAGTCTGTGACCACCAGTGAACTGGCAAACAGAAGAAATGTGGCTTTGGTGCGCCGACGCTGGAGCGAGTAGGCATTGGCTAGGATGAAGAGAGCCACGATGTTGGAGATGATGCCCAATGTCATGGACAGAATGACGACGACAACGCCGCCGGTGGTGGGCTGCCCATGGGTGTGGTTTTCCTGCAGCGACAGACCTTCAACAGCCACCCTAAACTCCACCTTCCCTCCGCTGTCATTGGAGGGACGAGGGAGCGGCTGGGAAGCGGAGGAGTTGCAGCGGCTCAAAGCTAACATCACTGAACTGTGAAGGTCAAGAGGTCCACAGTTGAGGGACGCTGCAAAAGAAAGAGGATAATTTGTTGTGGGTCAACACAATTGAAATGCTGGCGATTTGATGATATTAGAGGTATTATTAAAACAGGAAAAGCTAAGGATTAATCGATGTGAGAATTCCTGTAGAAATCTTGAGTGCAGATACAGGAAACGAGTGGGCCTACTCACTGAAACGGTTTGATGCAAATAAAATGATATGGATAGTAGGATATGGCTGCAGTCGCCAAATCTCATGAAGGAATATCTGTGAGAGATTTTGGAATAGGAGACTCTCTCCACCACTATCACCAGAGCAGTTAAGGAGAATTATAGAGCACTGAAGCTAAACTAAGACACTAATAATATCACAATTTGGGGAGTTCAAAAGAGTTTAAAATAACTAAAAATTCTTTGAAGTTTGGCGGGAGGGCGAACAATAGTAGAAAAATAGAAAAACCCACTATGGCTTATGGGAATGTTGTAAATTGCAACCTTATGGCAACTTGGAACTGCTAAGAGGATAGACAATTTTTTTTTAACCATAGATTATTTCTCAAAACACACAAGCAATTTGCAGAATATTTTCCAAGCAGCGTTAAAGAGAATGAAAATGAAAAGTATGATAACAGTAATAAAACAGTCAACACGTTATTTTACAAATAATTGTCATATATTTCAACAAATATGCAGCCAGTCAAAGCTTGAATTTTGCCCAAACCGATCTACCTCATTCTTTTAGCTTTAAAATGAACAATGTCCCACCTTTACATGGTTCAGATATCCTTCTTGGTCCAGCTGAACAACCAGATCCAGAGATACAAAAAGGCTCTTTGAAACTTCTTCAGCTCCACAGACAGATGAACACATGTCTGAAGAGAAACCCCGTTTCCCATTGAGAAAGTCCAGCGCGTCGATGTCCACGACTCAATCCGTCCGGTTGTTTCATGGCGGCTTTAATGTCGCGAAGGCTATTTTTTAACCATGTGTCCGTCAGTCCGTGAGCGCGTCTCCGCGCGTCTCCGCGCGTCGAGTCAAGTCTCCTCCGCGCTGCGCTTCTCTCCGTTTACATGAAGCATGCGGTCACTGGAACACGAGGGGCCGTTTGGGAATAAACCACCGAGACGCTCTCACGCGTACTAACGAAACACTGCTACCTTCACTGTTGAAATGCACACACGCACACACACTGAGACACTCACACACACACATGCGCTGCAACATGCACGCGCATATATGAAACACACTCATTATGCGCTATGTACACTTATACGTACATATGAGAAATACTCACGCATAGATATATACTTCTGTGTACATATACACTGTCTTTAGATGCTTTTAAGATCGGACTTGTATATTGAGGTCACGGAATGTACTTTTTAGGACTTTTTCAGACAAGAAGTTGGTTGTTTAGGCAACATTTCTGCGGTCGGTTTGTCAACATTCAGCCTTCGTAACGAAGGTTGAATGTGTCCCAATAGTGTCTCAATAGTTGAGTCCTAAACGTCCCCTGATACTGGAGCGTCCTACCTGCATTCAAACAAATGATATCAAATTGGCCCGTTTTGTCTTTAGGGACAGGGACAAGGAGTGGGACAGTGTCTTCAGTCTAGGGGCATCTTTTGTTTTTGGTGTCTGATCGACTAAACATATTCAGTTTCATACACAGTATTTTTTTTTACACAGTTTTGCGCCACAAATAACCTCTGCGGTATGAATTATCCAGAGAGATCCATTGCATGGTGGATTCGCCTGCTCCCACAGAGGGTTTCTATTTCAGTTTTCTAAATACATGATCTCAGTGTACTCAGTGTTGTCGAGTTATCAGATATTTATCAAAATATATAAAATACCTGGATGAAAACTAAAAAATGTGCGTAAAAGTCCTATTTTTCCCCATAAAAGCTCCAGATGTTCGTCAAGGACTTTTAGGTTTTTACAGCTGCATTATGTAAATCTGTCACTTACACATTGGAACCATGAATGAGGCATTGTGTTTTTCTGACTTAGGTCCTCTAGCTGCGGACTGAGGACAGGTGGTTATGTTTGTTTTCCTTTTTCCGGGAGCTTGCAGCAGCTGGAAACGTTCTTTTAAAAGTTCAGGAAAAGAGAATCGTCTGCCGGTTGAGAGGGACGAGGGCGTAGGTGGGCACTGGCATGGATTGGAAAGGCAGAGGAGACATCACAGGATCTTAAAAGTCAGCTGGATGCATCCTCTGCTGAAGCATGAAGGACATATCATGGCTGCAACAGTCCAAGGATTTCACTCAAACCCCAAACATTGACGCCGGTCCCTCATTTAGCTTTCTAATAAAAGCATAAAATGGCAAAAGAAAACTGGTCATCAGAGGATTCATGATCTGGCAACCATTCACTTAGACTAATATTTGAATGCAATAGGTTCTTCTAGAAATACCACAATAAAACAAGTCACACAAAAAGGCAGCTGACTTTATGCACATTCATTTCTGATTCCAAAATCCACAAAAGGAATTCAGACTGAATTGACAGTCAATGCTGAACTAAATCTCCATATATTATGTTGGCTTTGTCAGCACATCCGATTAGGCATGTTGCAGTGTGTGCTGCTCTTGGACCAGACAGCCAATCATTTGTCTGATTGTCGTCCTTTTTGGTCACCATTTTGACTCAAATAATCAAGTGTTTGGCCAACACGTGGGTTCTTCCTCCTGCTCTGAAATGAGACCGTCTCGCCCCCATTTTCCTCCTCAATTTCTCGTACAAATGGTGCTATTTGGCCTCTGGAGCCCACCTGCTTTTACAATGCCAAGTCTGTGGTTTATGGGGTCGAGGCCCTTTCAACACCCTTCTTCGGACCACAAATGGAAAACACCCAGCAGCATCAGAATAGCTGGTGATCATTGAAGCACTCTGAAATGGAGGAGCTCCTCACATCAGAAACATTTTGAGTAAGATCCATGTTTGAAATGTATGAAAAAATAGTTCCTCTCATTAACCCTTTTTGCCAATACTTGGCTAGGACTAAACCAGGGCCGAGAACTGGACCAAAAACATTTGATGGGAGTTTGCTCAATAAAATTTAAGCCTAGGTGTCCGTCATCTAGATGAAGGACATCTGGGCTTATGACATTAATTCTCACGATTGCAAGGAGCTATTTCCAATTGTGCAATGACATCATGTAAGCGTATGGTGGTTACTTGACCGTTCCTCACTGACGTTTTAACCAGATGCTGGTTATTATCAGTGGAAAGCCACGCGTTGTCTGTCTGCGCCCCTCAGAAACTGTCCAGATATTAAACATCTGTTTGCATGAAAATATTCAGCTGAGCGAAGAGGAGACAAACATGCTGTTAAAGACAGAAACAAGTTCAGCTACTTTCATCTGATGAAAGGTACACACACTCCTTGTAGTGCGAGTTGTTTAAAAACATGCTGCCTGGCTGTCTAGCCAGGACTAAGAGGTCATTTCTAATATTTGGTTACTGTTTTTGCAACTGTATCTATCAAACTCTGCACAGATGGGAGGGAGAGCTCTCTGAGCCAGGAAAAATAACAAAATGTTAAGATAGTGAAATCAACAAATGCTCAACTGCAACTACTGATCATCTATTCTGAGCAAAGCAGAACTCAAGGTTCATCACAGCGGATTTTCCTGTTCCCAGCATAAAGAAAATTAAAAAGTACCAATGTTAACTAGTGTTCTTTGATACAGTAGCAACGTAGAGTCCATCCTGTGAAGCAATGCAGATTTTGGCATTAGTTGGTTATTCCTGCGCGCGGCAAAGCGCCTCACGGCTGCCAGCGGCCTCCCCCCCGTTGGCCCGGAGCAACGCTTAGACGCACTGTTCCGCTGGTACTAAACGCAATACCACGCTGCTGGAGGCCGAGCACGCGTTGCTGTGCGCGCTGGAGTGAAGGGAGGATGGGGAGAAACAGAGCGAAGACTGTAAATTCAGAGGTTTTCTAGAGGGACTCAGAATCTGTGACAGCCAAAAACAAACAAACACGAAAATACAGTAAGTTCTGTGACTTTACGTGTAGCCTCTCAAGCTGCCTGTGGGACTGAAAACTTTACTCAAATATTGTTCACTGTTCAATTAAATCAGGAACATGGACGGGCCCCAATGCATTAGGCTGTCAATGGTATCCGATCTACTCTGACTGCACAGAGCTGTAAGCAGGAGATACACACCACTTTGTGATATCGGTTTCTATTGATCATTTCCATCAGCATGACACTAAAGATAGACTTGTAATGCATCATTCTTAGGTTATTGACCACTCTCTGGTTATTTATCATTAAATTATTTGTTCAGTCATGGTGACACAACCGTTTCTATACAGTAGATGATTTGATCACAAATGCAGGAGAAATTCCTCACATCAAACACCAAATGTAACGTCTCTCTCTTCTGTTATCGGTATCCAAATGAGGTCAAATGAATGCTGCTGTCGAGGACAACTGTCTTGCTCTTTTATTATTCACCATGTTGGGTCTTCAGCATGTCCTTGGAGATTTGTAAACCTATGGCGATGACTGGTAGAAACTCTGTCGTACTCAGTGAAATGTGACGGTTTGTATGGTTGTGTTTGTCCTCCTGAAATGCAAGGTTATGAAAGGTTATGAATTCCTGTCTTTATTTCTGTTCCTTTCAGCAGATCAATAATTCGGCAAGTAAAGTAAAACAGGGAAGCAAAGAGAAAGATCAGCGTCGGCCTCCAGAGCACACGGGAGACTAGCAGAGCCAACGCAATCAGGTTGTTTTGTAACAATTTATTTTCTGTGTCCGGGTTTAATTGTTGAGGTTTGGGGAGTTGGAGGGAGGGAAACACACAAACAGAACATGTGATGTGATGTGAAGTGATGTCATGAAATGTACAAAGTAAAAATGAGAAAAAAAACACTTAGAAGCCAGCCTCTGTGGCCCATTCACACACATGCATGCGGTTTCAGCGAGTGTCTACTGCTCGGTGCTTGATGCCGGCGTTTATCTTCTCATGCAAATCATTCACTTTTATCTTCATCTTCTAATATATTATGTTATATCTCAAATATCACTTATTGTTATGACAGCTTCATTTGCAATGAATCACAAAAGAAACTGCAATAAAACAAAACAAATAATAATACGCTTCATTTGAAATCCAACAAAAAAAACCTTCATCATTGATACTTTATGCACAGAACCGTCTCACATCTCGGGATTCTAATTTGTCTCAAATCTTAATGCCATATTTTCTCCACATCTACAATTTCTGTCATCTCTTGACAGTTTGAGTTCTCGAAAACTCATTCCTCTCCTCGTCTTTCAAATGGTGAAACACAACATTTCTGTGACTGTTGTTCTCATAAATAATGAAAACAACCTCTTCCAGAACCAATTAAATCAAAGAAGATATAAGGCACATTTTCAATGCGATTTGGGCGGATAAATACATTTTGCAGGGAACGATGTGCTTGCTCACCCCGCCCACCATCATACCACATGGGGCGGGCGCTTTGCTGGTTTGCTGACGTCTGCGGTAGTATAAGTGTGTCCGTGGGAGTATAAGTGTGTGTGTAGTGATTGATGAGACGTCCTGTCAGTGTGAATAAAAGAGGGGCAGTGGTAATTAAAGTGGGTCTGCAGCACAGCAAGATTTAAGAACCACAGCCTGCTAATTAAGTCAGCAGAGATAATATTAATGTCAGATGGTGACACATGCGTCAAACCACCTACAGGATCAACAACCCCTCACACAAACAAACAATTAGTCCACCACATATTCGGTCAGGCAAAAACATTAACCTCCTACCAGCACCTGCCAACAAGTGCTCTAAATATGCCCAGAAACCATTTGTTTCATGACGTCAGTGAGGGCATTTCTCACTTATTTCTGTGTCTACAACAGAATGCCGGAAAAACATTTGGATATGGATGAAATTACTGGTCTTTTCTAGTTTTTAATCAGGGTGATCATAAGAGTAACGAGCTCAATTCTCAGATTTGTGTTTTTTTCTTTCTTAAAATTACTGTTCTGACATTAATGCAATAAACCTCAGGCTGGAGCTTGCAAACTGCCGGCTTAGCATAAAGAACCTAAATAACTGCAGGTCGGTCTCAATTGTAGCAGAATAACCAGCAAGAGAAGCTTTGAGGTTATAAAAAACCATCCAATGAAGACAAACTGAACAGTTCTGTAA